CACCCCTGCCCTAAAAGATGCTTGGTGAGGCCAGCCTTGATTCCGCTGTCTGTCTGAGGAGATTGAATCCAGTCCCTCTCCTTTCCTTCCCCTCCTTCTCCCCAAATAGGGTTGCTAGGTCTGGGTTGGAAAATACCTGGAGACTTGGGGGCGGATCCAGGAGAGGGAGCGGTTTGGGGAGGGGAGGGGCCTCAGCATGGTAGAATGCCATAGAGGCCATCCTTCAAAGCAGCCATTTTCTCCAGGGGAGCTGATCTCTGTCCCCAAACAAGTGATCAATACTGCTGATCAGTTGTTTGGTAGGTATGTGTGTGCAGACCACCTTTTCCCACCAAGTTCTTTGGGGGCAAGTGAGTTTGAAGCTAGATGTTGGGAGTCCAGGCACTCTGCCAGTGACATGAAGCAGGATTTGAGATCAGAGGCAGGAAGTATAGGGCTAGGCAGGCACGAAAGCTGATCTGGCAAATTGACCACATTGAAAGATCAGCTTTATAGGGCCTGAGACGGTGTGATTGGCTCCTGGGATCATGTGCTAGTCAGGTGATCACAAATTGGAAAAGAAACCCAGGACGAAGCCCCTGCTGTTGTACATGCTGTAGCTGCTGGTGTTGAGGCTTGGGTTATAAAGTACCAGGCCTGGGTTGGGAGGCATTTCCACTCAAGTCTCACTCTGATACCTTATAGAGGAGCAAGGCAAAACTTGGGCCTAAATCCAGTTCAGTTCATGGGACCATAGCTGGTGAGTGGCTTGGGAAATTCCTGGCGAGCTGGGGATGGAGTTTACAGAAAGTAGAATGTTGGGAGGGTAGTGTTGCCAACTTCAGGTTAGGAAATTCCTGGACATTTGGGGATGGAGCCTGGGGAAGGGACCGCAGTAGAGTACAATGCTATAGAGTTGTCCTCTCCAGAGCAGTCATTTTCTCCAGGGGAGCTTGTATCTGTCAGTTGAAGATCGGTTATAATTTCAGGGGTGCTCCAGGCTCCTCCTGGAGGCTGTCAACTCTAGAGGTGAAGGACTTCAGCAGGGGTTTGGTTCCATAGAGTCCACCCTCCAAAGCTGCCGTTTCCTTTAGTGGAATTGTAGTCTGGAGATCAGTTGTGATTCCAGGAGAACTCCAGGACTCACCTGGATGTTAACAAAAACAACAATACAGTCCACAGTAAACAATGACCAAGAAAAACCAATAAATAACAACTGTGCACTGACCAGCCCACCCAAGAGCTATAGAAAAGAGACTTCAATACAATAAGTAATTCAATGCATGTAATCCATCATAGGACAATACACAAATTCATAATATCCCAAAGGGAAAGAACAAAGTCCAGAATAACAATCTCTCATAACAATAAAGTCTGGAATAGATGTCCACATTGAAGTCAGATGTCCATTGAAGTCAGATGTCCAACACTTTTCCTAGGTATTGATTAGTGTTTCGGACTTCAGGTCCTTCCTCAGGAGCTACAAGTCAATACCGGAAGTCTCATAGCAGTTTCTTAACAGGTAAACATTATTCAGGTTTTATACGGGCCAGGTCTCCTAAGTTTTAGAAAGCACCTACAAGGGTTGCTACTATGTAAGTTGGACCGTTTGCCCTGGACATGTGCAAATCTACATGCATATGTTCTGTACACGCAATTGAGGACCCAGCTTTTTGTAGCATTCCCATCTTCACGGAGATTTATAACGATGCTCTGAGCTGACTTTCTGTTAAATGTGTGGAGCTTGAGAGCGAGGCCAGTGGGCACAATCCTGTATCCCTTCACCTGCATTCCTTACATACATACATTGTCCTTCAGTCTAGCACTACCACATGATTGAGGCTGAAGTCTTCCTGAACAACGGGTGGCAACCCTGGAGGATGAGTGCTGACGAGTTCCTGGGGATCTTGTCAGTGGAGCAAAAAGGGAGGCAGGCAACCAGCAGCGAGTCAGGTCTGAGCATGTTGCAGGTTCCTGCCCCAACCAGCCTGTTTGGCTAGTGTTGTTGTTGTTGCACTGTAGTGGCACCAGAAGACAACACCTGTCTATCAGCTTTCCCATCGCTTGATCTTTCTTCTGGCTGACAGAAGAATCCTTGGCTGGGGAGAAATGGATTTTCGGAATTACCTGAATGACATCCCCTGCTGCATGAATGCGCCTTTGGCATCTCGGTCGCCAGTCCTAGAATGTGTTTCATGCCATTAGTGGTGTGCTAAATAGTGTGCTGGAATGCAGAAGCTCTGTGTTTCTTGCCCAAAGGATTTCCAGTCTGCTTTCTGTTGATGAGACAGAGCTGTGGGAAAAAGCTAGGGATTGACAGTAAGTAGGGGTAAGGTGGCAGCGGAGTAGCAAGAATGGTGGTGCCCAGTGGCAGCGGAGTAGCAAGAATGGTGGTGCTGTGAAAATCTGGGGTATGCTTTGTCAGCCCTACAAAACTCATTGCTGGATCTGGGGAGGGATGTGATGTTACACCCAAGTCAAAGGTCAGCTTCCCCCAACTCCTTCCCTTCTTGTGAGGTTGCTTCTTCCCACCAAAATTCATTTTTTAAAAATTTAAATTTCCTGCCTCTTGTCGATCAACCTAAAAAAACTCTCGGGTTTCTCTAAATGTTAAAGAGAAAAGTCCAGTCTGAAGACCCGCAGGAGGACGTCAGCCAAAACTAGTCTTGTCCTCTCCATCCCTCAGCCAGCTTCTAGCCTTTAGTGTCTTTACAAGTGACTGTCAATCAGTCACCCACTCTCTGTAGCCAGTCTAGGACTTCCATTTCTCGTATACACTATGGTTCCTGCCAGGGAACTGGTCTGTGTTGTTTGCTGATCAATTGTAATTCTAAGAGCACTCTAGGTGGCACCTAGAGGATTGCAACCCTAGATTTAGAATGAGTGTTTTCCAGTCACCAGGGTACTTGAGGTTGGTTGCTTGGGATGGAGGCTGCATCAGAGTTGGAAATACAGCAGGAGAAGATAACTACTTTGTTGACTGTGCAAGTGCAAACAATTAGGTTTCTAGTGTCTATCCCTGGCTTGCCCAGTCTAGAAGCTTCCTATCATCTGACATTTGTAGGCACTGACATTGTCCCTGGGCTTGTTCCATGTTTCCAGAGGGTTATGAGGTGTGTGACCATAAGACACAGATAATTCAGTGGGGCTCCCAGCCACTGAGCCCTTGAGACCACGAGAACAAGCCCTCTGCTGGTGAAGACTTGCAAGTCCTTCTGACTCCAACGGCTTAGGTAGCCTGCTTTATAGAGCAGGTTCAATACCTGTTGACAGACTTTGCAGAAGTCCGTTGGGAAGATTAAAGAAGCAGAAGGTTACATGACAAAGAAACAGAAATAACAGTGGGACAAGAAAGGAAAGGGAGCTAGCATTTGGGTGGGTTGAGAGGGAATTAAAAAGAGGATAAATGGTGCCCTTGTGGTGGGGAGGTGGTGGTGGAGAGAGCCTTCAAGTCGTAGCTGAATTATGGAGACCCTGTGTGGGTTTCAAGGCAAGGGACATTCAGAGGTAGTTTGCCATTGCCCGGCTCCACGTCACAACCCAGGTATTCCATGGAGGTCTCCCATCCAAATGCTAGCTAGGGTCGACCCTGCTTAGCTTACAAGATTTGACAAGACTGAGCTAGCCTGGGCTATCTGGGGGGGGGGGGAATATACATTTTATCTGTGGAAGAGAGAGTTCATCAGTTTTCTAAAGGAATATATAGCTGTTCCTTCTCATAGTTCCACAAAAAGACATGAAAACAAGAGCTTTGAAGTTTTTAAAAGGGTCTTTTATGATACTGCTGTGGCTCACAAGAGGGGGCTGTGGCTCAGCGGCAGAGCATCTGCTTGGCATGCCAAAGGTCCCAAGTTCAAGCCTTGGCACCTCCAGTTAAAAGAATCAGGTAATGTCAGAGATCTCTGCCTGAGACCCTGGAGAGCCACTGCCAGTCTGAATAGACAGTACTGACCAGGGGTCATTTCGTAGAAAAAGAGCTAGGGGAACTCATTAGCATAACTCATTAGCATATGCCACACCCCCTGACATCAGGGGCCCGGCGGTGGACCTGCAAGGCCGGCGGGAGTGCGAGGAAGCCCCGCCAAGGCCCTCCCTGGCCCCAGGCAGGCAGGGGTGGGGAGAGGCAGGGAGGAAGCAACTTACCCTCCCTCTTCTCCTGCCTCCTCCTGGCTGAATGAGGGCTGGAAGCGGGGCGGCCGGAAGCAGGGGGCGGGGCTTCATCATGTGCCCCGCCCCCCGCACCTCACCCGGGGGAACTGCGTTCCCCCGCGTTCCCCCCCGAAATGACCTCTGGTACTGACCCTGATGGACCAGTAGTGTGATTCAGTGTAAATGAACTGCAGCACAAGCTTTCATGAGCCACAGCCCACTTTTTCAGGCACATGATTTCTGGCTCAGAAATATCGGCTTATCCTCACACTTTGGATCTCTTTGTCTCACAAAAGGAAAGTAATCACAGGGGGCGGTCACACGCGCAAGATAAAGCGGGGGGGGGGGGGGGACGCTATTTCCTCTAGATGAATTTGGCCTGCGGTTGTGCGATCACACAGTCCATGGAAGCTGTGGGCATAGCCCACCACTGCATGATCAGACGCAACCGCGGGTGAGTCGTTTTTTGTGGTTGTTTCTGATGCGCTTACACGAGAAACTGATGAATCGCATCTTCGCACTGAGGTCTCCCTATGGCGTTTGCGATGATGCACATGCTAAGAAGGGGGGGAAACAACGGCACGGAGTCAGGATGGCCTGATCAGACCATCCCAACGCCATGATAGTGTGCTGGAGCGATCAGACACGGGAAACACCGTCCATGGCCTGTCGCAGCCCATTTACTACCGGATTTTCCCTGGTGTCTTTTAACTCCGCTTCTGCGGCGGAGCAAAATGGGTTGCTGACAGGTGCGGGGCGCTTCTCAGATGTTCGTGTCCGATCGCGCCGTTTAAATCCGCCCGGCATTCGCGCCTATGTCGGGGCTAATTGTGCATGTGATCGCGCCCATAGCTGTCCCTTTTGCTTTTCAGAAATCCTTTCTGGGAGTGTCTACATTGGAAGGAACAAGCAGCTGTGCCACGTGGATACAATCAATTGGGGAGATATCATCCGGAAGTCACATTTTCAGCCAGTGGTCACAGACAACGGGGACAATTGTAAGTACAGATAGATAGTAGGGTGGGGTGTGTGGGCCTGTTCTCTCCCACAGATTTAGGCTTTTAGGGCTTGGCTGTGGGTTTTGTCTGGGAGACAGTTCCTTTGCCCACATGGAAAAATAGAATGGGGCTATATATGCCCTCCCCATCTTTACCTCTTTTCCCTGTCAGTGAGCCCCTCCCTATCTCAAGAGCCTCCATTTTATGTCTTCTTCTGTCACTCTCTAGTGCATGGGCCTGAGTCTTGTTGAGCCTGTGGGCACTCTGGGAATTTTGAGTAGGTGCCACCACAAAATGGCTGCCCTGGGGGGTCGCTGGGACCAGTCGCAAAGCATTGGGAGGCTGCCAGCTAATCATGCTCCTCTGATGGAGGGAGCTGTTTCTGGTGTTCCCTCCTGGATTCCTGCTCTAGAGAAGTGAAGGAAATCCAGGACATGGTCTTTGTTTTGTTTGGGGAAGAAGCAAATGGAAACCCATTGGTGGACAGCACCTCAGAGATACTGTTCTAATGGCAGCTGGGAATTCTCGAACTAAGCATGTTAGAGGTGTTATTGGAAAAGGTCAGGAGCTCAGACTCCTTGGTTACTCTCCCTCCCCTCCTTACTGGATGCAACTCTTGCAACATATTCTAGTATTTGTTGTTTGTCTTATACATTTTCAAGACAGGAAATTCTTGGTGAGCTGGGTCTCTGGAGGAAGAAATGGCAGGTGACTCATATTCCTTGAGTTAAATATTCTCATTTCCATCCACTGTCCTCCAAACCAGGGGATCATATTTTGCCAGGAAATGGAATCACTGTGCTTCTTCGTAGTTCCTTCTTTGTTCTTCTGTTGTGCCCACTGGACATCACTTCCCTTCATAACAATGGTGGTGGAAGACAATTCTACCTCTCCCTGCCAGATTAATCTCTGTGTCTGTTTCACTGACATCCCTGCACTGTAGCATAAGTAATAAATCCACCAACAGCTATGCAAACCGAACTAGGAGTGCTTCAGTTCTGGAATCAGGCTAATTCCCTTTCCTTGAGAAGCCTGTCCGTGAGAAAGACACCTCTTATTGCTTTCTAATAACATGCTTAGCATTTATATAGCTCTTTCATTGCAGAAAGTGCTCCACATACATAATCATAATAATCTGTACAACAGCCCTGTAAGGTAGGCTGGTGTTGTTATCCTCCTATGCGAGAGTGAAGCCTCTGGAGGAAGAAATGGCAGGTGACTCATATTCCTTGAGTTAAATACTCTCATTTCCATCCACTGTCCTCCACTGAAGCTAAGCGGGAGTGGCCAAGATGAGATTTGAACCAGCAACCTTCCAGACCACAGTTCGTTCTCTTAGCCACTGTGCTACACCAGCTCTTACAGGAAGTAGTATGGATTTTAAGGTTTAATGTTACACTGGAGATTTAATGTGGTGTGGTAGCTAAGAGGGTCAGTCTGAGATCTGGGAGACCTAAGGTCAAATCCCCACTCTGCCGTCAAAGATTGCTGGGAAACTCCGAGCCGGTTACACAGTCTCAGCTTAGCCAGCCTCACGGGATTGATGTGAAGATAAAATGGAGGAGAGGAGAGCGATGTTAAGCCACTTTGGTTCCTAATTGGGGATAAATGAAATAAACACTACAGTATTTTATTCTGTCACACCCTTTCTTCGGAATACTTGAGGGCAGCACCCATGGAATTATTCCGTTTATGCCTCACAACAACCCTGTGAAATAGGCTGGGCTGAGAAGATAAATTTATTTACTTATTTATGTATTAAAATATTTATATCCCATCTTTCCTCGTGGTTCAAGGCAGCTAACAAATCGCAGTTAAAACATTACAGAGTACAGAGTAAAACCTCAGATATCCCCAGGGCTTTTTTTGTAGAAAAAGCCCAGCAGGAACTCATTAGCATAATAGGCCACACCCAACAGCAGAAACTCATTAGCATATTAGGCCACACCCCTGATAGCACCGCTCATTGGCATATTAGGCCACACACACCCATGTTGACAGAAGTGTGGTCCATCCAGCCACACCCACCTTTTGCTTGTTGTTCTGTTTACCTTGTTTGTTGTCAAAACCCAGGGCCTTTTGCAGGAACTCCTTTGCATGTTGGGCCACACACCCCTAATGTAGCCAATCCTAATGAGTTTCTGCTGTTAGGTGTGGCCTATTATGCTAATGAGTTCCTGCTGGGTGTGGCCAACTCAGGAGCCAGCCGGAACTCCGTTCCTGTGCGTTCCTGCCCCAAAATAGCCCTGGATATCCCTCCCCCCAACGATGTCTGAGTTTATATTACGGTAAAAGCCCTGGCAGACAAAATGGCCTTGCAGAGCCTCCTGAAGATTTCTAATGACAGCTCTCCCCTCATCTCCTCAGGGACCTTGTTCCACAAAGTGGAAGCTATCATGGGAAAGGCATGGACTCATGTTGATGTCAGGCAGGTCACCTTAAGTGGAAGAATGTCTTGGCCATGGCTAGTCAGAGAATTTCATAGTTGTGAAGGGATTAGAATCCAGGACTTCACAGTCAAAGTCCAGCATTCCATCCACTAGGTCACAAAAACTCAAATCAACCAATATCTAACCCAACCTTTTTGAGCCCTCGGGCACCTTTGGAATTCTGACACTGTGTCCCACCCACTTTCTCAAAACACTTGGTGGACAGCAGGAAAGGTGTTGGTGGGTTCCATGGTGCCCTTGGGCACCATGTTGGGGACCCCTAATGTAACCATTCTAAAGTGGCATTTGCATGGATCATGAGAGACATTTTCAGAAACGAGGAGATCACAGCAGAAGAAGCATGTCATGTATGGTAAGCTTACTTTGGCCCCATGCGGTCATTAGGGCTGCCTTCAATGGCTAATACAGTGTTCTTCTTCTCCCTGAATAGGCCCTCCATGCCACGAGAGCTGCAATGGGCACTGCTGGGGTCCTGGTCCTGATGACTGTCAAAAATGTGAGTAATCACAGTGATCTTGGGTGAGGTCTAGGAGTCAAAAGGTGCCAGGAAGAGTTCAGAAGGGCCTGAGTCCCTTACACTTGGCATGTGATGCGTGGCTTGGGTTTCAGAGTCTGAAAAGGGAACAGGGTGGTACCTATTTTAGTGGTTCTGTCTGTAGGGCTAGATTTGAAACTGTACTGTGTTAATAAGTAACCACCCCTTTCAGAGCCAAAGTGCTAGTGCAGGGGTCAGGAAGCACTCAGAAGGAAAAAAAAACCCCGAGACTCAAGAACTGAATGGTTTGTGCTGTAGATAAGACTATCTCGAAACCTCAAAGATTTTCCCCAGATTCAAGAGCTTTGTTCACAATATCCCAGGTGTCTTACTCATTTACTTAGAATAATTAATTTGGGCTTCCTATTTATTTATTTATATTTATTTTTCACATTTGTATCCCGCCCTCCCCAATGGGCTCGGGGCAGCTCACCAGGGCAAGGTAATCAGCCGTGCCATAAATAAACATCTAAAACATAATAAAAACAACTAACACTTGAAAACAACAATGGTGCTCGGTCACTGATATCGTAATCCAAAATGGAATCAATACAGTTCCAGGTGGCACTCCCATGAATGGCGACAGCTTATCAGATCTTCTTTACATATTCCAGGATCTTCATCAGGGCCTCGTCCATGCATCCTTAAGGCTTTTTTTGTAGAAAAAGCCCAGCAGGAACTCATTAGCATAATAGGCTACACCCAACAGCAGAAACTCATTAGCATATTAGGCCCCACCCTGACAGCACAGCTCATTAGCATATTAGGCCGCAACCCCATGTTACCAGAAGTGTGGTCATCCAGCCACACCCACCTTTTGCTTCTTATTCTGTTTACCTTGTTTGTTGTCAAGACCCAGGGCTTTTTTGGTAGCAGGAACTCCTTTGCATGTTAGGCCACACACCCCTCATGTAGCCAATCCTAATGAGTTCCTGCTGTTGGGTGTGGCCTATTATGCTAATGAGTTCCTGCTGGGCGTGGCCACCTCGGGAGCCAGCCGGAACTCCGTTCCTGTGCGGTTCCTGCCCCAAAATAGCCCTGAAGATACCATGACGGTGGTGGTATAGTGGGGCTGCCAACTCTGGCCTGGAAAATCTCTGGAGATTTGGGGGTAGTTCTTGTGGAGGGCAGAGTTTGGGGAGGGAGCTCAGGGAGGACGTGAGGCCACTCTCATTTCCTCCAGTGAAACTGGTCTCTGTAGTCTGGAGACAGTCTGGAGGGAACTCCAGGCCCTGCCAGAAGCTTGGCAGCTATACCTTCACACATGCATTGGATGTGGGCTTACTTGCCATGGCAACCTCCTACCTCTGCTGCTGTGGCCCCCACCTTACTCAGTGGAGCGGTGGGAGCAAACCCGGGGTGTGTGTGTGATGTTGCATGATGCTGTGACATCACTTCCAGATGAGTGGTGTCATGGCATCATGTATTGCTCTAGAAATTTCTCCGATCTGTCTGGTAAAAACCATAGAGGTTAGGGGAATTCCTACAGTGTTGCATGATTCCATAACATCACTTCTGGAAGTGATGTCACAGTGTCATGTGCCATTATTCCCCCCGTCTGCACCCCACAAATGTTTCTGCACCCAAAAGTCTCCTAGTTGGCAACCGTAAAATGTATGGGAAGGGAAGGCGGCTTTTCTTCGGCAATTAAACGTTCCCCATTATGAATGCACAAGTGGTTTGTTTAGCGCGCTTACACGGCCATCCTGAGCAGACTTATGCACCCTTCTTAATCTACAACATCACTGGGCTGAAAAGGGTGTAACTCTGTTTAGGATGGCGCTGTTAGGAACAGATTAGATGTGGCTGAGGTGGCACTGAGAGAAATCCATTCAAGGGTTGTTCTATTCACATCTAAGGCAGGGTTAGAGGGGAGAGTCTAATTTTTAAAAAACAAAGCAAAATGTACCATGTGGTTAGGGGACCTAAAGTCTGCCCCCTTCTAGGCCTTACCTCAACTGCTCTCCAATTACGTTTGGTGCTTTTCTGCTATTGGAGCCAAGCTGGGAGAAAAATCCATAAAGGAAAAAACCAGAGGGGCTTAGCTCTCCTCACCCATCTGCTTTGTTTTTGTTAAGAATGAAAGCTAGATGGGATATGGATGGGCATAAGTGTAAATGTGCATGGATCTCCCCCATCACATCTAGGCACATGGTTCCTGCTCATTTGGTGACTGACTCATGATCCAGGGATCTTCCTTTGAGGTGGTACCTGTGCTGCAGAGAGATCACGTTTTCCCACCATTAGTTATTGCTTCATTTTCTTTCTGGGGACATGCAGTTCTTCCCCCAGACAGCGCGCCAGTGCATTTTATGATTGCTATATGGAATGTGGTTGGATGAAAATGGAGGGCAAAACTGTCCAATTTCTATTCTTCGTTTGTGAAGAACAACATAGATCCTCACTGCCTTTTACCTGCCTTTAAATGCCCTTTTTGGCTGTTACCCAGTGCCAGAGTGCTAACTTTTTTTAAGACCGAAAAAGCTATGAACTCATGTGCCATCCTGCCATGCCAGGAACAACTTATTGACTTAAAAACAACAACAATATTTTGCTTATTTCCTTGCTATCTGCAGTGTTCCCATTGGTGTAAACTGAGTGCAGCAGCACACAACTGGTTTCCTTTTGAAACAAAAATTGTGAATGGTAGCAAAGCCTGGTCCTCCAGTTAATTACATCAGGATGGGATATCGTGCGGCTTGTGCTTGGAAATGGGCTGGAATGATGATCCTGGTAAGGATCAAATGCCCTCGACTTAAACACTTCACACTTTTGTAGGCAGGGCCTATTTTACAGGGTACCAAACGTATACGCGCCAAAAGTTTCAGGGAGGAACTGGGGGGATTAGCTGACTTTTTCTACAGGGAGAAGCAGATTGTGACTTAACAGCTTCTCATCAATGCTTCCCCCCCCTTCTGCTGCAGTGACCAAGAGCATATGTGCCCCTCAATGCAATGGCCGTTGTTTTGGCCCCAACCCCAATGAGTGCTGCCACGATGAATGCGCAGGAGGCTGCATTGGACCAAGCAAGACACAGTGCTTTGTACGTGACCACTCTCCATGTCGAGTTTTTTTTTTGGGGGGGGTGACTTTGTGGGTTTGGGATGGGTCAAAGAAATGGGAGGAGAGGATCATAGAGGAACTGTCCTTTGAATGCAGGGACACATGAGGTTTGTAGGGAAACAGTAGCAGTACTAAGTCTTGCATCTCTCAGCACTAATTTTAATTAATTATTGTATGGCATTGCGTGTAGTATAGCCAGGAGATGCTAAGATTGTATGGCAGCCTGAAGTTCTAGCTCTTCTAGAATTATGCACCACTAGGTGGCACACTAGATTTATTTTTTGGACTGAGAGAGCTCTGAAAGAGCTGTGACTGACCCAAGGTCACCCAGCTGGCTTCATGTGGAGGAGTGGGGAATCAAACCTGGTTCTCCAAATTAGAGTCCATCGCTCTTAATCGCTACACCATGCTGGCTCTCATTTCTCAGCACTGTTCTATGTACAGCCACATAAATCCCTCAGTGTTCCCTATAATTCCTCAATGCTTCAATAACGTTTGCAGTTCTGGAGACTGTAAGGCTGCTGCTGCTGTGCTATTCCCTATATATCCATCCTCTTTTTCTTTAGTTCCTACAATCTGCCAGCAGGCACAATAATACCAGATCTTTTGACACCCTTTGTTAAAGTCATGCTATCCTTCCCACTACCTAACCTTTCCTTTCTGATCCCATCTTTACCTCTTCCCACATCCAGCTACAATGCCATCTTCCCGCAGTCATGGCTTTTCAGTGGGCTGTCTCAGAGAACAAGGGTGGCGGTGCAGCAGACGTGGTTTTTCCACTGAGCCTGCTAAGAATGTCTCCATGGAATTAGTTCAGGGGCTGGAGTCTATGAATCTGTTCCACTAACGGCAGAGCTTCCCTTCACCACTAGGGGCCTTCTTCTGAAGGGGCGGGCCTTTTCCGCTGGAGGAAGAGTCCCCGTGCTGGAGGAAGGCTCTGTCGTTGGCAGAATAGATTTCGAAGACCTGTCCCTGTTTTGTGTGTGCTGTCATGATCAGGGGAAGTCTGTACTGATCAGGGTTGAGTGGTTGAGTGTTTGGGATTGTGTTCTGGAAGGCTGGGGGTCCAGGTCTTGTCCATTTTTCTCCAACACCCTTTCTTCAATCTCAGGCTTGCCGGAACTTCAATGACAGTGGAGCCTGTGAGACTCTCTGTCCACTTCCACTGATCTACGACAAGCTCACATTCCAGTTGGAGCCCAACCCTGATACCAAATACCAGTACGGCGGCATCTGTGTCAAAAACTGTCCACGTAAGTCATAGACGTGGTGCTTATGGCAATAAGGGAGCAAGTGTCCCTTGTGCACTGAAACAGGGGCTCTTGAGTGGATTGAACTGCCATTTCTCCACGGGAGAAATTGTGGCCCTCTGGTGGGAGAAATTGTGGCCCTCTGGTGGAAGCAACCAGATTGATGGGCTGATGTGCATAGTAAGAGCCACCAAGCAGCATATATCCAAGTGTGACATAGGTCTTGTTAAGGGTAGTCTTTAGAAGTTGCTATGGGTTGGGCAACATAATTCCAATTTAGCTCCTTCCTCATGTGCGCACAGAGTTGACTGTGAGTGGACACCTGTATGGACTGTGATTGAAGTTTGTTTATTTATACCACAGTTTCCCCTCTAGTGAGTACCCCCAGTGGTTTACAACATTCTTCCCTCCTCCATTTTCTCCTCACAGCAAACCTGTGAGGTAGGCTGGGCTGTGAGTGAATGACTGACCCAAGATCACACAGCAAGTTTCCATGGCAGAGTGGAAACTTGAACTTGGGTCTCCCAAATCCTGATCCAGCGCTCTTAAACATTGCACCATGCTGGCTTGTTTCCCTCAGCGATGGAACTGATGGATAGCTCCTAATTCTCCACAGGCTCCGTGCTTTATTCTGGCACTCTTTTCTGGGACCAAACAAGGTGGTTTTTTTTTTAGTTTGACTGTTCCCAGATTTGGAGAGGGAGTAATTAGAGCAAATGCTTTGTGAGGGTTTTTTTTTTAAAGTTTGCTTTAATCTGTGAATCCTCATTGGGACTAAGTCAGAATCTAGGAATCACAGTTCCCCTCTCACACACTGACCTACTAGATCTCACTCTCCCTTCCAGAGCTGGGGAGAGGTACGAGGAGCAGCCTTGGCTTCTAGCCCATCCTTAGATCCCTAGCCCCAAACATCCCATTCTCCTTTTCTCTCAGATCCGGAGATGGAGCCCAAGACCTTCCAGCTACTGGTTTCTCATCTTTGTTGTCCTTCCTTCATTTCCACTTTTCCCTGCAGATAATTTTGTGGTGGATCAGAGCTCATGCGTCCGAACTTGCCCTAACGACAAAATGGAAGTGGAAAAAAATGACCTAAGGATATGCGAGCCCTGTGTGGGACTCTGTCCAAAAGGTATGTGGGATAATAAACAGCCACAGGGGTTGCATCCAGCCTGGCAGCTGGAACGGAGGACCATCTAAGAGTGATGGCACCAGAAGTTTCCTTGCTCTTAAGGCCTCGTTCTTGCTTTGGGTTTTTTGCAGGACCTTTTTTGTGGAAAAAGCCCAGCAGGAACTCATTAGCATATTAGGCCACACCCCTGACAGCACAGCTCATTCGCATATTAGGCCACACCCCCATGTTACCAGAAGTGTGCTCATCCAGCCACACCCACCTTTTGCTTCTTATTCTGTTTACCTTGTTTGTTGCTAAAACCCAGGGCTTTTTTGTAGCAGGAACTCCTTGGCACCCCTAATGTAGCCAATCCTAATGAGTTCCTGCTGTTGGGTGTGGCCTATTATGCTAATGAGTTCCTGCTGGGCGTGGCCAACTTGGAAGCCAGCCGGAACTCCATTCCTGTGCGTTCCTGCCCAAAAATAGCCCTGGTTTTTTGTGTCCCCAATACAGAACACATACGTGCCTGTTAAATGTGAGGGATATAATCTCATATCACACCGGGTACATTCAACAATCTTTGAAGAGTTCATAGAATTACGGAGCTGGAAGGGGCCTTACAGGCTATCTCTGTTGTCCCCAACGTGGTGCCCATGGGGGCCCTGCTGACGTGGTTGCTGGTGTCCACTTGCTTCTTCCCTAGAGCTACGAGCTAATCCTGGCTTCTCTCCACTTTGTTGGGGTAGAAGGTGTTTCAGAACTGCCCAGGAGGCCAAAACACTGGTCTGTACCTACAGTGGGGCTAATGGGGGCTCTGCCCCCTTCTTTAAAGGGACAGCGGCACCACAATATTTTTTTAGAAGATTTTTTTTGAGAAGAAGATTTTTTGAGAAGAAGCGGGGGCGGGCTGCGTGCAGGGCTCTCAGCTTCTTTTCAAAAGCATTTAAAGGGATCCTTTAATGGCACATGCCTCTCTCCCTCCCCTCCTGCAAGATTTAAAGGGCTCTCCAGCTGATCAGCGGGCCACGTGCTCCCCACTGATCAGCTGACGGGCCCTTTAAATCTTGCAGGAGGGAGGGAGAGGGTGGCAGCTGACGGTTGGGCCTGGGGGTGGATTGGAGCTGACATAAAAATAATGGCAGCCCCACCAGAAAAGATTTGCTCCACAAGCTACAAAATTCTGGGTATGGGCCTGCCAGAACACTACCCAGAATGCTGCTCCTGGGGGACAGGGGTTCCTAGGAATAGCTTGGAGTGGAGAATTGGCAAAACTTGATCCTCCTCCATTATGTCCTAGGTAATTCTAGGCAGGATCCAAGCCACTGAATGAGAAGAGACTGTGATTTATTAGAAGCTCGCTCTCCTTGTAATGCTGGGGGCTGATCTCAGTTGCCCAGAACAGAGGATGGCATAGTTACTGTTGCTTCTCACATTAACCCCAAGGAAGTGTTGGGGTGTGTGAGATAAGCTGGCGTTTTCCATCTCCCTAAAACTCACCCCCCCCTTACCCTGCTTCTTCAGCCTGTGAAGGAACCGGAATCGGAAGCAAGTTTCAGACAGTGGATTCCAGCAACATTGACCGCTTTATCAACTGCACCAAGATCTTGGGCAACTTGGACTTCCTTATCACTGGCCTGGAAGGGTAGGCATGCAGTAATGATGTGGCTAACACTAAAATGCAGTCACTTGTGCTGCAGGGCAGAACAGCTGAGTAGCAGCCACAAAGCAGTGGGCCCTGTGCAGGAGTCCTCATGCGACTGTGATCCCTGGGGAGAAATATGATTAGTGACTGACAGCCATGCAGCAGCTATCCCCTGTAGATCTCAAGCAGGTCCCAGATTCCTTTTGGCTGCAGATTTGGCTGGCCCCTGATCCCTTTCAGCCTCCGATCAAAATGGAGAAGGTTAGCTACCACCTAAGTCCACCTCCTTTTGACACCCTCCTTGTCCACTCCCTGGTGCAGATGGTGAGGTACCTCGTGGCCCAGTCTGTTAGCCCTTTTTAGAGACAGCATGGGCAATTGCCCATCCACCCTCATTGATTTCGGCTTCTCCCGGTGAAGTTGGATTTGCTCCCTGCCACTGTCAGAAGTGTCACTCTGTATCCCTCCTTGATTGCTGTTTAGCTGATGAAGCAATGATGCTACAAAAGTCTCTGTTCCAATGGTAACCCCCCCTCCCCCAAGCACTTTATGAGGGGAGATTTGTCTTTGTAGCCAAAGCAAAGTCAGTATCTAACAAGGGAATCTGTCTGGCCTGAGTCATCTCCTCCATGGAATACTGGGTGGTACCTTTAGTAGTGTCATTGGTGCTTTAGTGTGCAGATATTTGTGAAACAGGGCTGGGCCTACCTTGAGGCCAAGTGAGGCAGTCACCCCTCTGGCAGTGGATTTTGGGGGTTGTGGCGACCTTTTGTCCCTCCTGCCTGTCACCACTCTCCCGTCCTGCCCAAGCACTCATCTCTGTCACCTCTGCTTGCACCTGAGAGGTAGAGCAGGTTGTCCCTTCTGCTGTAGCCCTCTTTTTAAAAATAGTGTGGCAAGCCACACACACACTATTCCTTCTCTGTGCAAGAATTTGGAACCATTTTGGTCTCCTAAACAAGTTTGGTTATTGGAAAGGTTTCCAGGTCATATCTTAATTCTCAGAAAAGGACATAATCTTGTGAGAAACTGGCAAGCCATGGAGGGTGTGCAAGGCAGGCTGCACTGTTCTTAAGCAGGGCTGGGGGGGTGGGGAGGGAGAATGCCAGGAGGAGGAGCTGTTCTGGCTTCCGGGGGAAGGGGATGGGTGGAGGATGAGGTGGAGGCAGTGATGAGTGGCCTCGGGCGGCAAAAATGGATTGAGCCAGCTCTTTGTTTCCTACTGAGCACAATGCTCTCTTTCTAACCAGAAATATTCTCCTCTAATATTTTCTTGGTGGCAGCAGCAGTAGAAGAGAGTTAACCTTACAAAACACTTCTTACTCTCCTCCTCCAAGTACAGTAACCTCCCATAACCATATTGCAGTGAGCGCAGATTCAGGACTTGTTTAGACAATCAGGACTCCTAAGTTTATTAAGGTTCTTCATTCACAGGTGTGAATCCAAATTAATCATTCCATCAGAACAGTTTCTGGTTGTTTTTTTGGGGTGGGGGGGACAGAGATTCATGGATCCTGCCCTGTTTTTTATAAGCTGTAAGGTACAAGAATTCCTTTTAGCAATGTGTTACTTACCCTATTGTTGACCCCTGCTTTTTAACAGCTAGTATGGGTTATTATGTGCTTTTCATGGCTACGCCACTGAAGATGATGCAGAAGTGTCTGCTAGGACACAGTGCTGGTGGCCTATTTCTGCTGAAATGCTGGGGAGTGGGCACTGCTGGTTGCCAGTTATGTCCTGGGCCCAGCTGGGAGGCTATTGCTTTTTGAAGCCCCGTGCAGCCACAGATCCATTGCCCTTTCCCTTTATGAACACCCCTGCTGCATACAGTCTTTGGGGTTCAGCCTGCTTGGTATTTTCTGTGCCATATGAGAGAGGGACAGCTGTGGCCAGGAACTGGGCTGCTTTGCCTGCAAACAGCCCCAGGTTCAGTCTCCAGCATCTCCAGGAACAGGTAGCAGATGCTGTGAAAGACCTCTGCCTTGCCTCCACTGATGTGAGAGAGCTCTGCCTGAGACCCTGGAGAATTGCTGCCAGTCAGAGTAGAGAACACTGACCTTTGTTAGACCAGTGATTTGAATTGCTAAGGCAGTATCATGGCTGTCCTCCAAGGCTGGGGAATTACCTGGCTGGGAAAAAAAAAAAGAAATGTGTGCTCCACCTGAGCATTTTGACTGTAAAACTTGTCATTTCCCTAAAGTTTTTGGCTACTGTTTTTTGTTTAAAAAACTCTGGCGAGTTACCTCAAGTTGGCAACCAGGGTGAGAAAAGAGCCCTTGCTTATTCAGGGGCTCTTTTCCCCTTAGCTGTTAAGCTTCACTGCAGCCTTGTGTGTGCCCCTTGGTCATGCACAAAAATTCAAGAGTGAAAGGATTGTCCCCTTGTGATACGCGAGTGACAAAGAAACCCTTGGCGAAGGATGTTGCCAGACTCCTGGGTTGACCCAGCCTTAAGCCAGTTGCCTGGCTCTGACCTCCTCCGTTTCCTACCCACAGGGACCCGTGGCATAACATAACTGCACTGGACCCAGAAAAACTCAACATCTTCCGGACAGTGCGAGAGATCACAGGTGAGCTTTAGCTGTGAGGAGCTTTGTATAACAGGATCTTTTAAAATCTGGTCTGTGACACTGAGAGTGTTGGATAACAGGTTGTGAGATGAGTGGCTGTTCAGATGGCAGTGCTTTCCCCCCCTAGAGGTAGGGACAACTGCACTCAGTCCCCGTTGGCTTACTGCAGTTCTCCCCTTATGGCTTGTGTTGTGGGACTCCTGCTGCCTGCAGCAACTTCATTCTTCTGAGAGCCAGTTTGGTGTAGTGGTTAAGTGCGCGGACTCTAATCTGGGAGAACCGGGTTTGATTCCCCACTCCTCCACCTGTGGCTGCTGGATGACCTTAGGCAAGCCATAAGAGCTGTCCTTGAAAGGGCAGTTCTCTCAGAGCTCTCTCAGTCCCACCTACCTCACAGGGTCTGTTGTGAGGAGGGGAAGGAATTTGTAAGCCGCTCTGAGACTCCGAGTGAAGGGCGGGGTATAAATCCAATCTCTTCTTCTTCAGAATGACATTTTAAAGTGCTTCTTCAAAGCCAGGATTGTGCCTATATTATAATTCCATGCAAGTACCTGTATTATAATTCCATGCAAGTACCGGAGTGTGTGTGTGTCACAAAAAGTGGAATTTAATTTTATTTAAATCCATAAATGGCACATACATACCCTATCCTGACTTCTTCCAAGGAGTTAACAGCAGTGTACATGGTCCTCCACTCTGCTTTGCCCTCACAGCAACCTTGTGAGATAGGTAGAGGGAGAGACTGGCCTGAGGTTCTTCCAGTCTCATAGCCGAGTGGGTCAGTCACAGTTCTCTCAAGAACAGTTCTCTCAGAGCTCTTTCAGCCCCCACCTACCTCGCAGGGTGTCTCTTGTAGGGAGAGGAAGGGAAGGAGACTGTAAGCCGCTCTGAGACTCTGAGTGAAGGACAGGATATAAATCCAATTTCCTCCTCCTCCTCCTTGTGCTGGTTTTGGCCTTGATTGGTTGTGATGAGAGGCTTGCAGGTCTGTGAGAAATGCTGAGTGAAATCTCCGAAGGCACAGGAGAGTCTGAGGGGAGTGGCCCAAGACTGGACTCCCCATTGCCTTATCATCTGTGACAAGGAGTAGAAGAATATGTACATTTGTTCCTTTTACAAAACTAAAAAGGGCTCTAGTGACATGGTTTGTACATGCTTCAGCTTTCCCCAACACAGATTTTATTCAGAATACCCTACTTCAAAGCCTTTCCTAAACTACCCTGCACTCCTCCAATCCGTACCTGCGCTGCCCCCTTCCTACTCCCCCCTGCCCCCTGCTGCTTTCTCATTTAATATTCATCCTCTTTTACTCTCCTACTTTCATTGCTCTTGTCTAGTGTTGTTTGTTAAAAAAGCACTGAATCCCAGTAGTGTTTCGTGTGGTGCCTGGTGTAGGGTTGCCAGACTCCAGGTGGTGGCTGGAGATCTCCCACTCTTACAGCTGATCTCCAGACAACAGAGATCCGTTCACCTGGAGAAAATGGCTGCTTTGGAAAGCGGACTCTGTGGCATTGTACCCCATCGAAGTCTCTGCCCTCCCAAAGCCCCACTATCCTCAGGCTCCACCCCCAAAATCTCCAGGTATTTTCCCTCCCAGGCCTGGCAACCCTAGCCTGGTGTGCTGTTAGTACAATTTATTTGTTTAGATCTTATGCCCAGAGGGGCTTGCAACTTCTTTTTCCAGCTTGTGAGGCAGGTTAGGCTGAGGGGGTATGACTGGCCCAAAGTCACCCAGGGAGCGTCCATGGCAGAGGGAGGACTGGAACCTGGGTTCCCCAGCTCCTAGCCTGACACTGTAACCACTATATCATGGTGACTGTCTGTACACATGAATACCATATATAAGAGGAGGCAGCAAATTGGAAAGAGAATGTAGGTTCAGACAGGATGTTATTCAGGGATTGCTGGGCAAAGACTGGAATCTGGCTTCTTGCTCACTCAGGGAATGCTTCTAGGCTCCACTTTCCTGTCATGATTGGCTGGAATTGGACTGAGATCTGGGGAGTGGCAGGAGCAGCTGAGGGAGTCTCAGGTCAAGGCAGACTTCAGGGCACCACCCGTTGAGAACAGGAGTGCTGTAAGGAAAGGGTGCTTACATGGGGCATTTCAACAGCACTGCTTGGGGAGGGGGGGACCTCTTTAGAAGATGGGGAGGTAGTGAAATTCATACACAAGGCTCTGAACCTGGGCAGCAGCCCAAAGACCACGAGAGGGGTGGTGGTGTTGGGCAACAGGACAACATTTAAGGGGTTCGGAAATCATCGCCCTTCTGTCCTTGCTTCCAGGCTACCTGAACATCCAGTCGTGGCCCAAACACATGAACGATTTCAGCGTCTTCTCCAACCTGGTCACCATCGGTGGCCGCAGCCTCTATAAGTAAGGATTGCTCCCTTGTCCAGCCTCCTTTGCCTTGCTCTTGCGTCAGGGAAGGCCTTGCCCCCTGCCCTCCTAGGGATGCCGATGGCCCGCCTGCTCAGAACGTCTGCCGTGGAGCAGCAAGCCAGCCACAAAGCCCAGTGGAAGCCTGAAAAGTCACAGGGGCAGCAGTGGGTGTTCTGAAATCGGGCCTCTCACCCACACGCATTAATTTTTCCCCTATATATTGTGCATGGATTGGACTTCAGGATCAGATCCTGGCCTTGGTCTGACAGCTGCCCATTTTGCTTGTAGAGGAAGTTTGTTCTGCTAAATGCTGGCAAAGTACAGGAAAAAAATCTGACAGCTGCCCATTTTGCTTGTAGAGGCAGAGAGGTTCGTTCTGCTAAATGCTTGCAAAGTACAGGGAAAAAAATATTTGTTGCTTCCCAGCCAGACAGCGTAGCCCCACTTCTCTTTCCCGAGGCCTGACTTTAGCGTCTGTTTTTCCTAGCCGTGGTTTCTCAATGCTGATCATGAAGAACATGAATGTGACCTCGCTGGGCTTTCGCTCACTTCGACAGATCAGCGACGGCAAGGTCTACATCACTGAGAACCAGCAGCTTTGCTATTACCACACCATCAACTGGAACGTGCTCTCACGCCGGCGCTCAGACCTTGACATCAGGCTTAACAAGCCTCCCGACAAATGCAGTGAGTGTGGGGCCAGTAGGGAAGGGATGAACAGTCTCGGGGGCTGGGAAACTGCAAGTGGGTGCCTGCTGGTTCTAGGCTACCTTCACATGAACAAAGGTGAACGGCCTTAGGGCTTCCATAGAGGCCTTTTGGGAGCATGGTTAATTCCTGCATTGGTCATGCAAAGACACTGCAGGAGTGAATTTCCCCCTTTTCCCCACAGGAAGACTCATGCTTGGCTATTCCAAAGTTCTTTTATCTGCCTAGAGAAGGAATATCGCTCTCTCTGTGATGAACAGAATCCCTATGGGAAGGGGCCAAGCGGACCCTGACCGAATAACATTCACACACACGCTGTTCAGAAGTGGGATACATGTTCCTTCTGTCTCTGATGTTGAACTCCTGTCACAGCTCCACCCTGCATGCACTCAAACGCACAAACACAAATACATTATGTGCTATAGGAGTCATTTCCCATGGTGCAATAGAGAGTGGTGTATGAATATTCCAAACTTGTGGGCCAGGCCAATCACAAGGGTCTTTCCCTTTCATTCGGCGTCCTTCCCATGTCCACGAGCCCCAACAAAGTATTGCTTGAAATCCTTTTGCTTGTAGACAATTCGTTTGTGGCCCAAGTTGAGGAAAGCTGTTCAGTGACCATAGAATGCAAATTCTCCTTTGCAGTCAGTTGCCTTGGCCCAAGTTGCCTGCTGTGACATCAGAGCAATGAAGCAAATGGAAGCCAAAGGGGATGTCACGCCTTTGCCTGTCTTGCCCCAGTGACATCAGAGCAGATGTTTCACCTGCTGCAGTATGATGCATGCAGACTGTGGATTATGTGTATGCCACTTGTTAGTATTTATAACCATGAAGCTATATGACAAATACGATAGCAGGCTGGTGATTCTAGGAAACTGGACCCCTGATGCTCCCATGGGATTGGAGATATAAAAACCCTTAAGATAGGAACTTACCATTTTTGTGGCTTGGCCACAGATAGGTCAAGGGGATGAGAACTGGGCTTTGGGGCCTCTAAGAAGCAAAGTCTCCAATATAAGATTGGATCCCAGTTGGGCCCTATCTCTCTCTCTCTTTTTTTGTAAACAGTTTTATTGATTTCAGAAATAGGAAGTACAAACAAACAGTAACAAAGAGAGAAAACAACATAAAACAAAAAATAACATATAACAACAAACATACATTAGAGCTTATACTCGATTCTCTGGTTTAGTTTCACATAATATCCTTGAATCTTATATTTATGCACCTAAGTTGATTTGCATATTTTCTTTCTGAGCGTTGTTATGCCAGTCTTCCAAAATAAGATACTTCTCTATCCATGTATATATTCTCAGCCAGTTATTCTTAAAAGTTTCTTCTTTTTTATCTTATAGTTGTAAATTCAAATTGTCCATTTCTGCTGCTTCTAAAAGTTTATAAATCATTTGGGCCCTATCTCTCTTTTTCTACTAGTACGAGAAGGGAAAGTCTGTGATCCTCTTTGCTCTGACAATGGCTGTTGGGGACCTGGCCCAGACCAATGTGTCTCTTGCCGCAACTACAGCCGTGAAGGAACCTGCGTGGACTCCTGCAGTTTCTATGAAGGGTAATGATGACCTGTTACAGACACCCACTTCTTCTCCCTCCAATTCCTTCCTGGCCCCCAGGTTTTCATGCCTCCTGTCTTCTGTGCTGCATTTAGGGAGGTTCGAGAATTTTTGCAAGATGGCGCGTGCTTCCCTTGCCACTCGCAGTGCCAGAAGATTGACGGTGACCTAACCTGTGGTGGATCGGTATGGCAATGCCCTGGAGCTTGGGGTGGGGTGGGGTTTGGCAATCCTTTTTCCCCCCTGTATTTGTGTAAAAATATTTTGACTTCTGCATAAACCCCTGGTAATAAACATCCAAAACAATGTCAAACAACAGTTATTTAGCTTATCATTTTTCCTGAGTGTCGGACAAGGCCTGGAGAAGCCTAAATTCAGATCCCTAGATTGGTCATCTAGGGACAAACCCCTAGGAGACACAGGACAGACCACTGATGCTCTCAGCCTCCCCCGCCTTACAGGGTTGTTGTGAGGGAAAAGAGGAGAGGAGAGGAACACATACGTCTCTCTCTGAGTTCCTACCAGGGAGGGCAGGGTAAAAATGTTGTGATCAGGGGAAATCAGTACTGATCAGGGTTGAGTGGGATTGTGTTCTAGGATGCTGAATTGAGAGGAGGTTATCGACAGTAAAACAATACATTGAAACCCACCCAAGATGGCATATCATGATCCTCCTTTGCCGGCCACACTGCTGTCCCTGCACAGCAGGGCAGGGGAGGGCACGTGGGGGCCGTAGAAGAGAAGAGAGTGGGTGCCAGTCTTAACCTCCCGTATCTGCCCTCCACTAAAAGCCTGGTGGAACATCTCTGCCTTACGGGCCCTGCGGAATTGCATCAGATCCCACAGGGCCCTGATGTTATTCGGCAGAGAGTTCCACCCGGTCGGGGACAGGACCGAAAAGGCCCTGGCCCTAGTCGAGGACAGCCGGACCTTCCTTAAATCGATTTCCTCTGGGAGGTTATTCCCTAGCTCTGGGGCCATAGCGGTAGAGGCCCTGCTCCTTGTGTTTAATATCCAGTCTTGCCTCAGTAGCAATGGTCCATGGAGCAGAGCCTGTGTTGCAGACCCAAGGTCACATCAGCAGCTGCATGTGGAGGAGCGGGGAACCAAACCCAGTTCTCCCAGATTAGAGTCCGTGCTCTTAGCCACTACACCAAACTGGCTCTCAGTGCCAAGCCCTGGCCCTCCTCTGTGAAACTTTCCCTTGCCAGCCACTGAAAGAGCAAGATAGCAGTGGCCGTCCGGCTTGTCTCTCATCCCTTGACCTTCAAGTGAACAACTTAATGAAAGCCGTTTAAAAAAAATCAAATTACACATTTTAACTTGGATTTCTTGCTATCCTTCTCCCTGGTGCTGGTGTAGCTTCTGGAGAGAAGGTGCTGCCCTTGGGTACTGCTAAAAATCCACCTCCTGTGCTGCTGACCCCTGAGTTTTCACCACCTCTGCCAGAGTCCAGCAGCGTTCTAGGTGGTGGCTTTGTAGAGAGAGCACCGGGAATGTAAAGCTGCCCTTTTGAAAACCTGTTTTATGGACAGTTTCGTAGACTTAAGAAGCAACAAAAAGGACACAGAAGCCAGTGTGGGCACTGCTAAGTCCTGCCACATTTCAAGGGGAGGTGGCATCGTCCCAGGAGCTCATGGAATCCCAGGCATTCCCCCTCCCCCCGTGTCTTTCTTCCCCAGTATCCATGTTGTGTGCAGTGCCATGAACTCCCCAGTGAGCCGCCTCATGTTTCTCTCCTCAGGGTGCTGATGCCTGTGTACAGTGTGCTAACTACAAGGACGGACCACACTGCGTGGAGAGCTGCCCTGATGGCATCCTAGGGGAGAAGGGGCTTATCTTCAAGTACCCAGATGCCAACAGGGAGTGCTGGCCGTGCCATGAGAACTGCACGCAAGGGTAAGGTTCAAAATCAGGGCGTTAGCAATAGTATCCATTTCAATGTTTTTTAAGTGCTTTCTCCCAAACAGTTGCCACTCCATTATTATTCATATTAAAATAATTCAGGGCTCTTTTTGTAGAAAAAGCCCAGCAGGAACTCATTAGCATAATAGGCCACACCCAAAAGCAGGAACTCATTAGCCTATTGGGCCACACCCCTGACAGCACAGCTCATTAGCACATTAGGCCGCACCCACATGTTACCAGAAGTGTGGTTATCCAGCCATACCCACCTTTTGCTTGTTATTCTATTTACCTTGTTTGTTGTCAAAACCCAGGGCCTTTTTTTGTAGCAGGAACTCCTTTGCATGTTAGGCCACACACCCCTAAAGTAGCCAATCCTAATGAGTTTCTGCTGTCGGGTGGTGCCTGTTATGCTAATGAGTTCCTGCTGGGCGTGGCCAACTTGGGAGCCAGCCGGAACTCCGTTTCTGTGTGTTCCTGCCCAAAAATAGCCCTGAATAAAATAGAGACAAAAGTCCATTCTCCCCCCAAATGTACACACAAGGGAAGGGGAATGGAGGAGGGAGAGCAGTTTGACAGTGTCAGGAGATAGAATTTCCAGGTTAGAATTTATTGCTGGTTGGGGCCACAATGACCATCCACGGCTGATGTTCTTGCTTAGGCAGAAGTGGGTGCATCAAAAGCATAATGATGGGATTTTTAAGCAGCGGCTGGAGTATGAGCGCAGATAGTACCTGGTCCAGATTCTTTGATCAGGACTGAAATCAGGACTATCCAAATATGAAGAGGGTTTTTTTTTTGCACTTTGGGGGGTGACAGGCAAGGGGGACTGATGAAATCTAGCTTTGGAGATGAAATAGGATGCCTTCTAGAACTGAGGGAGCAGAATCCTTCAGCACTGAATGTAAGCCCACCTACCCAAATTCACAAATGGTTTCCAGTTGGGAATCTATTTTATAGTTTTCAGTCTATCCGAAGGCGTTGGAAACTAGTACTTGTGGCTTTTACTTCTCTCCTTCCTGCAAGATTCCCTAGGAGATAACTTGCAGTGCCATCCTAAACAGACTTACACCCTTCTAAGTCCTGCCATTCTTAACAGACCTATTCCCTTCTCAGTCCTGAGCTTAGGAAGGTCTAACTGTTTAGGATGGCGCTGTTGGATTCCTATCTCTCATGACCTCTGGAAGTCATGCAAGACTTTCTCAGTCTCCCAAGATAATTGTTTCATTCTCTTCCCTTTAGGTGTGGTGGTCCGCATCTTGACAATTGCTTCATGGAGCATCTGCCTGTTGCCAGGTACATGCCAAGATCCTTCTAGTGTGAGGAGCGTTGTAAGAATTCTTTATGAATAGAATGTCCTCCCTGGCCAGTTTGCTTGACCAGATTACAAATACCAGAAAGAGGCCTTGTCCCCAGAAGGATTGTAGAAAATGGGATGCAGTTGTATCCTTAAGTTGGGAGTACACCATTTATTTAAGAAAACTGAAATTGCTATGCATAGGGTTGCCAACTTCCAGGTGATTTAGAATAAATAAATGGAAGTACAGCAAAGAGGGTTGTGCATCTAACAACACAGTCAAAAACTGTAACACTGTACCCAAAAATACTTGACACTTGATTCAAAACATTCTTATATTAACAGTGTAGTACTCTAAATAACCAGATCCATTCCAAAGACACTAACATGAATAGTCCAATACAGTTCAACAAATTCCTAACCAAGCTCTACATATTTTTCTTGACGGTATACAGCGGTCTATATCTATTCCAACCGGCTTGAATAATAGAGGTTCTAAACTTACAGAAAACCAAACGTCCTGCTAAAAGCCTTCCAATGTTCCCTGATTCAACACAGCTGGATCTTAAAGGTGAATTAGTTCAAGAAGGGCCAACTGTGAATTTCAGTGAAATGAACATCACCTGAAGAATTTCTACCTTCAACAATTGCAACTCTTCTATTTACATGATTTGTCTTCTTTGTCCATGTTTGTCTACCATTAGACCAATCAAGTCTAGAATGCTGGGGCATATATGTAGAGCTGGTGATAGTTCTCCTTGGTATAGAGAGCTTTTGGGATCCCCCTGCTTGATATATGATGTGTATCTGTTAAGTGATACGTTTTCTTCATTATAACTCCATCACTGGAGGTGGCCTGACGAAGTCCTGAAATGGATAGGAACCTGGGTGGTCCGTCGCCACACCTCTTAGCAACTGTGTTTTGTGGCCATCTATCAACTGTTACTCCTCTTAGTTCTCTGGACATTTATTAACTCTTAGGAATTTGTTGAACTGTATTGGACTATTCACATTAGTGTCTTTGGAATGGATCTGAATGGTTATTTAGAGTACTACACTGTTAATATATGAATGTTTTGAATCAAGTGTCAAGTATTTTTGGGTACAGTGTTACAGTTTTTGACTGTGTTGTTGTAGGCACAACTTACAGGTGGTGATTGGAGATCTCCTGGAATTACAGCTGTTCTCCAGGCAACAGGGATCAGTCCACCTGGAGAAAACAGCCAGTTTGGAAGGTGGACTCTATGGCATTACACCCCATTGAAGTCCCTCCTCTCCCCAAACCCAGCTCTTCTCAGGCCCCACTCCCAAAATCTTCAGTTATTTCCCAACCTGGAACTGGCAACCTTAGTTATGCAGGTTTTTCAAGTCAGTAAAAAAACCTGCAAAACATGTTTACCAGACATGGAAGGGGAATGAGCATACACACTGTGAGCTGCTCATTTCCCTTTCAAGCTGCTTTCTCATTCAACATTCAAGCTTTCAGGCTTCCCTGCCTAAAACGCAGCTGAATTTGTCCACGTACCGCCTTGATAAATGCTGTTCGTCGTAAAAAGACAGAGAGAGCAAGAGAGAGAGGGCGTTCCTTTAAAAGTAGCCCTGCCCCAAAAGAATCTCCCAGGGCCAAAAGAGAGAGACTTATTCTCAGCCAATGGTGGAGTAGCTTGAACCTGTTTAATGACATACAAGATGCGTTGTTGTTTTTTGCAAGGAAGCCCAGAGTTAGTGCAGCAAGTTCTGAGATGTGGTGGAGCTTGCAGGGTTTCATTGCAGGCCAACAAGCAGCAGATTACTTTTTTGCAATCTGATTGGGGCCTTTAGCAATACCCTCCCTAGTCTTCTCAATGATAAGGCCCAGGAGATGTTTACGGAAACATGGCTCCCGTTTTTTGCATATTGGAATAGAAATAACCCAAAGGAGAGGATTAAAGAAAGTATTTTAAGATATATCTGAGTAACAGACTGGTAGAAAAATAAATAAATTGCCCTGATCTGGATAGCCCAGATCTCATCAGATCTCAGAAGCTAAGCAGGTTCAGCCTTGGCTAGTATTTGGATGGGAGACCTCCAAGGAATACCAGGGTCGTAACAAGGAGGCAGGCAATGGTGCAAACCACCTCCAAATGTCTCTTGGCTTGAAAACCCTATGGGGACACTGTAAGTCATCTGTGACTTGATGGCAAAAAAGAAAGAAAGAAAACAAATACAAATTGGAAAACAGTAGGCATAAATTTGAATCTGAGTACATTATTAGGTGCGGTTTGTGTAACAGACTGTAAGAGTATGGGTTCTTTTTTCTATTCTGTTTTAAAAATGGAACTGAATGCATGATAATTAATTGACAGAATGCTGCATCTATGTTACGTATTGTTCACCGATGTAAGGGAAATAAGTACAATAAAATGAAATAAATGGTAGTTACATGCTTTGCACATACGTAAGAATGGCTCAGATCAGAGTGTGAGCTGGTCTCTCCCTGATCCAGGTCTTGGTTCAGCCATGAGCTCACCAGCTGGCTTTAGGTAAAACCTCTCTTTCCTAGCCACAGAGCCACCCCCCACCCCCCCAGTGCAACTTGGGTATACTGATCATAGCCTACCTTACAGGGTGGCAATAAGGTGAGCTCGTATATGTTCAAAGCGTTCTGTATACATAAATGCTAACTCTTGGAAAAGCAAACTTTACACCAGCCGTAAACACTTGGTGTGATACGAAAAACTTTAATTGCAGACTGCAGATATTAAATCCTCGCAGAATTCATCATATGTAAATAGATAACTACCTAGGAAAAATGGATTCTCTTTTTATCCTTTGTTGACTGAGATAATCTGAAAGATTGTGAGCCAATCTAATGTAATAATATACATAATCTTTTCATCTTCATAAAGGTTAGGGGAAATGCTGAATTTTTAATGATATAAAGAATGCATGGTGTGCTAGCTAATTCTTACCACGTATGATTGACTTGTTGGAATTATCCTGTCTGAAGGATATAATGATCTTTTGTCAACTTCTGCATTCAAGAATGTTATGAAAAATATAGAGTTAAAATGTTAACTGCTGTTACTATCATTGGCTTGGGCCAAAACCTCCTTTTCCCCTTGCAGTAGGCACTTCTGCCTGTGGAAGAGGGGGATGGGAGACTTGAAGGGTGACTTTTCACCAACTCCCCTTCATCCCCCATTGTACTGCTGGGGGGGGGTCCCACTGATCCATGGGGTTATGATTTGGAGAAGGCATAGAAGACTGCAGTGGGGAGCTGGGAGAAGCTGCCTCTAGCATCTAGTGGATTATTTGCACAGCTTCCAATGCACCACAGACTGTCCAGTTATAGGGGGATCGTAGTCTGTTGCAGAATTCTTCCGAGGATTACAGTCCTTTCTCTCCCCTCATTAAGAGCTACATCAGATAAATGGAGGGATTTAATCAAAGCAGTGGTATTCTTGCTCCTCTCCTCTGCCTCCCTTGGAGTCCCCAGCCAAGGGGCACCCGTTTCTAGTTGCTTTTCCAAGCCTTAACTGTGCTCGGGGCTTGAACCCTCTCCAGGCTTTTTTCTAATTTAGATACTGGAGCTTTAAGGGTACTGGCGGCCAAAGTCCCTGCAGGCCAAAGCAGGAAAACTGGCTAAGCTCACAGCCTTCCTACACTTTCCCCCCTGCGCGCGCACGCGCGCACACACACACACACACTACAAGCTTGTTGCATCTTGTTGCATTTTTTACTGCCTTACCACTTAAAACCAGTCCCTCATGTAAACAAAAGGTTGTATACTTTTTTTCCAGCATATCACCGAGACTCAGGCTTGAGAGAGAAAATAACTTAACTCTGTAGATCAGGGTCATGCTCCTGGCACCTCCAGCCCTCCCAGTAGATCTGACTGGGGCTACCCCTCTGATTCTGCCCGGCTTTCATTTTGATGCCATTCAGAAAATCTCCCTCCCTCCCGCCCACTCTCTCTCCCACCAATGCCAGTTTGCCTCGAGGTCCTCGTGGGGGCGGCATGAAAGGAGGGGCAGGGCCATTGCAGGCCCTTGCCTGTCGCCGGAGGGAGTGGATCATTGCACTTTGATCTCCTTCACCGCCCTTGTTCTCTCCCTTACAAGGTGCAGGAAGTTCCCACCAACATGTAGAAAGTTCATCATTTCCCACCCCTCTCTTCCCTAGTGCTGTTAGTGCAAACAAGGCCGGGCCGATCTGTGATGTGCATGGCAGGCAGAAGCAGAAGTGTTCAGGGGGGGGGGTCATGCTGGGCTTTCGGCATTTGCTTGGGAAGTCGATCCCACAGTTATGGGGGCTCCCCTGTTTGGCCAAGAGGCCTATTTAGCTTGGCTGGCATTCCCATGGGTGGGACAGGCAGGAGAGGAGCAGATTATTTAGGACTATAAAAGGATTGGCCTCGAATGGTTGAGTCATAGTTTTAGTATACTGGTTTATTTCTGGGCCTGTGGTTTCTTTATCGCAACTACGCTTGCCAACAGGCCTGGAGGGGGGAAAAGGGCCCCGTCCCTTTAATAGAGGCTTAATATGTAGAAATGAAGCTTTTCATGGCAGGCAGGTAAAGAACATCACTTGGTAAATAGCATCCCTTTTAAGACTCCGTTAAAGGGACAGGTCACTTTTCTCCAGGCTTGCCAGCAGCCTTTCCTGGAGCCTCCAAAGATGAGTCAGGGCAATAGTGCCCTTGGAGGAGAGCCAGCTCTATAGTGAGCGCACTAATAGGGGGGCTCTGCCCTGCGATGAGTGAGCAAAACCTTTGCAAGCCCTTTCGGGGGGATGTTAAGAAAGAGCTGAAGGGGATTCGCTCTCTCAACCCCTGCCAAACATGATGCTCCACTGATGATGACCCTGGGGCTGAATACACAGTGCTAAAACAACGGAACATTTTTTGAAAAAGAATAGTGATTCTGCACCAAGAAAATGCCATCTGTATTTTCATTACCGCGATACTTCCAATACCGCTCTGCCTCCCTTGTACGTGTATACTAGTGATGAAAATACTTTTGCAATATGCAGAATGTTTAACAATGTACATAGCTATTTGATGACATTGCTTCCATAAACCAAGTAGGCCAGTGTGGTTATCTATGCAAAATAAGCACCTTTTCCTGTTTATTCCTGTCTCTTCTGATCATGGGAGGTGCCACAGAGCTAGGCAGGGCATTGAGGGTCTGGCCTGTGAAGGTCTTGTTCAGTCCAGTTTCCCTTTCCCCAGCTTCTGAGAGTTCCCCTTCCAATTCAAGCCAGTGTTTTCACCCGTAAGGGCCAGAAACGTCCTGTTTAAAAATGTAAACCTGGGATCCTCAATATGCTGAATTCTGTGCTGCCATTAGTGCTTTTGCTGTCCTTGAGTAAACCTGTGGTCTTCATGCAGCCCTAGCTAACTACTTGCTATTTGCATCCCAGGAAAGCCCCGACGGTGATTGCGGTGATGGCTGTGTGCTGCCTCTTCATCTGCTGCTCCTGTGGTTTGCTCACTTTCCTCTACTGCCGGGGCAAGAAGATTCAGAAGAAGCGAGCCATGCGCCGATACTTGGAGAGAGGAGAGGTGAGGCTTTGCAAGTCTTGTATGTTTTGGCCGTTACAAAGTGGGCTGTTCGGGCCATTAGTTTGGTCCCATTAGGCTTTTACCAAGTGTCATTTGCATCTGTTATCCAAGACTCTAATCAGATGTCTCAGGAATGAGGAGAGATTCTGGCCCAGTGGGAGAAGATCTGCTTGGCATGCAGAAGGTGCTGGGTTCAATCCCTGGCATCTCCAATTAAAAGGACGAGGCAGCAGATGATGTGAAAGGCCCCTGCCTGAAACCCTGGAGAGTTGCCGCCAGTCGGAGTAGATAACACTGACCTTGATGGACCAGTGGCCTGATTCAGTGTAAGGCGGCTTCAAGTGTTCATGTGAACCAGTGATAGCACCAGTGCAAGGTCCAGGGAATCTCTGAATATGAACAGGTGGAATGTCCGAAGTGGAGTGTGATTGGCTATTTTTGGTTGTTGTTTTTACAAAAATGAAGAGCATAGGCTAAGGTGGTGGTGAAATACTTTGAAGCGACAACACATTATAAAAAATGAAGAGACAGTTACCAGGAGCTGGTCCTTAGTATCTTTGGGAGTTCACATGGTGCCTGTTCAAAGGAGCTTTATAGAACTAGAAAAGTATCTTCTGTAAGAAATTCTTAACTATGGTGAGGGTAGGTTGATGGACTTTGACACCATGCTGGTCTCTTAGTAGCCATTGGGCATAACTGCAAACATACCCAGAACACAAACATGAGGGGGGAAATCAAGAATATTACAAAGGCATTGAGGAGCTGGTCGGATGTAAAGCTCCTGTCAAATAGGGATTCTTAGGAGGTGGATGTTAGATCAGTCTCTCTCCAATTTGTTCCTGTAGAGTCTGGAGCCCCTGGATCCCAGTGAAAAAGCCAATAAAGTCCTAGCCCGAATCTTCAAGGAGACGGAGTTGAAGAAACTGAAAGTTCTGGGATCAGGAGTGTTTGGAACTGTGCACAAAGTAAGTCTGAGTCTGATCATTCATGCAAGTTGCACTATGTTTCAGAGGTAGCATTCAGGCACTGCTGTGTCCTGTGCAGATTTAGCAACTGATCCATGCCATTGTGGTGGCCCATAAGCCTCTGGGGTACCCTACATATTGTGCAGGTAGGAGTGCTGGATCGGTTGGAAACATGGCTTGGCCTTTCCAGGCCAGCACTGCTCCTTGAGTGAAGTTACACAAAGAACAGTGCTGGGCAAATGTGGACCTCTAGTTGACCATCACTGCTCGATAGTTAAGAGTTCGACAAATGTGAATCTTTTCCTTCTTCCTTCATCTTTTTCTGGGGAGGGAGAGCCACTGCCTCCTCCAGCGGCAAGGACAAGCTGATAAGAGAGATTGTCCTCACACAGGGATTTCCTCATTGTAGGTGCAAAATAGTTTCACTAGCATTTGTTCCTGTTGGAGACGTGAAAGAGTATCATTCCCAGTGTTTCCTCAGCAGTTTAGGATTTATTAATGGCTCATTGTGGCAAGAATATGGTTCATCTCCTTCTGGCTTTCTGTTCCATCAGGGTGTCTGGATCCCAGATGGAGATTCCATCAAGATTCCCGTCAGCATCAAAGTTATCCAGGATCCAAGCGGGCGGCAGACATTCCATGCGGTCACCGAGGTGAGTGCCCTTTCCAAACCCTGTGCCCCCCCCGCCCACTTTCCTTCTCAGAGGAAGCAGCAGTCCCTCTAGTTTTGTATCATGGCCATCTATTGTCCCAGGACCGAGCAATGACCCATTCATTTTGAAATACAGCTTCCTTGTCTTGATCTCTTTACCTTATCCCTGTTACCATAGTGGTCTTGCCTCTTTATCCTTAACGTGAGCTCTCCCTGCTGGCTCTGCCCAGGCTCAGCACCCCGTGGTACTTTTCTCAGAGTTCTGCCAGTACCTTCTCTTTTGGGTGTAACTCAGGGTTCATGGAGACTTTGGGCCTAACAATTTATTTATTTTTCTTTTTTTGCTTCCAATGTTTTGAATATTTACAGCACATGTTGGCCATAGGCAGTCTGGATCATGCTTACATCATCCGGCTCCTGGGCATCTGTCCTGGGACCCAGCTCCAGCTGGTCACCCAGCTCCTACCCCTGGGCTCACTGCTAGAATACATCCGCAAAAACAAGGATGCTATCGGTCCCCAGCTAATGCTCAACTGGTGTGTACAGATTGCCAAGGTAAGAACGGGCTTTGCAGAAGAATATCAGAGGGGTAGGAATTGTCCTCTAAACATCTGAAACTGGAGATGTTCCACCCTAGATTGCTTTTCGGGCAAACGAAAGCTTTCTGTCCAGCACTCTTATGCTCTGTGAATCAAAGGTGCAACTGAATTATCTCAGTATTAAGACTAACACAGCCATGCTTCAACGCTTTCCCCTTTTCCTCTGACTTAACGTTTCTAATGTATTCAGGAAGCATTGCGAAGGCAAACATCTGTTTGTTTTTGGGACTCAGAATAAGGCACTACCCCCACCCCCTTCCAAGAGAGAACTTTTGCATCCATGCACTGCACTTGTAGGGAGGACTTACTATTTCCAGGCCTTGCGTCAGGGTGGTGTGATGGTCTGGGCAGAAATGAGGCAGTATTTGGAAGCTCTGTGGTTCCTCAGGGTAGTCCAGAGGAAGTTGAGGGCCTTTGATTGGCAAGTCAGCGGCTGGAACCTTCAGCCAAGTTGAGTGTTTAGGGCAAGCCAATAGAGCAATATACATGATTATAATTACAACAATTTAGATCAACTTATTTAGTTACATCGCCAAGAGTCTAACATGACTGAATGGCTAACAACAACAATAGCAACAACATTTAGTTATATACTAATATATCATTGTCACTTGTTCTAGGAAACCATTTTCTTCTTTTGGCATGGCGTCGCCTTGCTCACACACATTTGAGCTTGGCTGATAGAAAAGTCAGTGCCAATGAGCACTTAACATCTTATAAAGGAGGAATGTGGAGAGTTTACTCTATTGTGAAAAGGATCAGTATGCAAAGTATTCCATGAAGGTGTAAAGTCTGAAAACGCTGGTCTAGCACTGGGGCTGCCCACATTCCTAACATACAGACTCATTATTGAGCTGAAAAACACTAAGCACATCGAACTACTTTTATCTGCTTTGCTGTCTTCCAACGTGTTCTTGCTGTACTACTGGTGTTGGATTGTTTTCAGGAATGCGGGAAAATGCTTGATTCTCATTATGGGGGGAGAAGCATCCATGTGTGGGCTGGATCTTGGAAGGCCGCTCTTATGCGTTTGTAGATAAGGTGCTTCTAAAGGAGATAAAACACAGTAGGTGGCTCCAGCTTTGAATCCTAGTTCACCTGAGCTCCTTCTCTCCAATGTTCAGGGCATGTACTACCTGGAAGAGCACCGCATGGTCCATCGCAACCTGGCTGCCCGCAATGTTTTAGTAAAATCCCCCAGCCAGGTACAGGTGGCAGATTTTGGCATCGCTGACCTGCTCTATCCAGATGACAAGAAATACTTCTACAATGAAATTAAGGTTAGTATCTTCAGGGTTGAAACAGTCCAAGTGGATGGTGCATGCAGTTCATCTGGTATGTCTCCTGGAAAGCATTACATTCAAGTGACCAAAATCTGTTGGAAGTCCCTGGCCCAAAATTGTGTCTGGCTTTCCTCAACCACAGCCAGGGCTTTTTTCAGCCCCGTCTCCAAATTGATGGAACTCTCTGCCAGTTAACATCAGGGCCCCGTGGGATTTGCTATTATTCCACAGGGTCTACGAGGCAGAGATGTTCCATCAAGCATATGGTCGAGGACAGCAACGGTTTTTAACAACAGTTTTTAACAGCAACAGCTTCTTAACTGTTTGGTGTAGTGGTTAAGTGCGCGGACTCTAATCTGGGAGAACCGGGTTTGATTCCCCACTCCTCCACTTGCACATGCTGATGTGACCTTGGGTCAGTCACAAGCTCTGGCACAGCTGTCCTTGAAAAAGAGCAGTTTGTGTCAGAGTTCTCTCAGCCCCACCCACCTCACAGGGTGTCTGTTGTAGGGAGGGGAAGGGAAAGGAGTTTGTAAGCCGCTCTGAGACTCCAAGTGAAGGGCGGGGGTATAAATCTAATCTCTTCTCTTCTTCTTCTTAACAATTTAATAGCTCTTAAGAACAATCTGATTCACAATCTGCTTCCACCCCTCTTCCCCCATTGCTAATGTAAACTGGTGGGGGGGGGCAGAATTGTATGATGGTGCCATACTGTTATTGGGCTTTAGGATTGTATTTTAAATTATTTAATAGATTTTGTGTGTGTTTTATATGACTTTGATGTGAACTACCCTGAGCCTACTCACAGGGAGGGCGGTATACAAACCTGATACAATAAATAATAGTAAATGTATAAATCTCCTCTGACTTCTCCTGGGGTGTGTGTGTGTGTGTGTCACTTCCTCATGCCTGAATGTCAAGACTCTGATGCGTTCAACACAGGCAGTCACTATAGAACATGAAGAAGGGCACTATACTTCATGTGGACAAGGGATCAACCTGAGAAAGGAAGGGATGCTTGAGAGGTGGTTCTGGAAGAAAAGCACTTGACAGTTTTAGAAGGGTGAAGAATTGGGATCAAGCCTGGACCGCCTATAATTCGTGGGGAATAAACCTCCTTGTACAAACTTTGATGTGGAAGGAAGGTAGCACGGTACAGCCATAGTATAGATCTCATTAGATCTTGGAAGCAAAGCATGGTCAGTACTTGAATGGGAGATCACCAAGAAAGACCCTGCAGAGAAGGCAATGGAAAACTCCACCTGCTTTTCACTTGCCTTGACAGCCCCTTGTTAAAATCACTATGAGTCGGTTGTGGCTTGATGGCACATCCGTGCGTAGAAGCTTTGATGGACTCTCCCTTAAGTGGCAAAGTGAGAGCAGACTTCACTCTATATGACCTTTGCTTCCCAAAACCCATTAGAAGCAAAACTTGAACACAAGGATCCCAGGGGAGATGAATCAGGTTCAGAACTGTTCTCCATTTTAGACAGCGAAACAGGCCTCGTAGATTCCTCTCCCAACTCTTTGCGTGTGTGTGTGTGTGTTTACGTGTACTGACGTGTTTTTCAGACTCCAATAAAGTGGATGGCTTTGGAGAGCATACATTTTGGAAAATATACGCATCAAAGCGACGTGTGGAGTTACGGTAGGTATCTCAGCCGAGTTGACTCTTTCTAAAGTCAGGGCTGGTTCACTGCCCTGCTTCGGGTACCAAGGTCTCTGCACAACTCTTGCCTCTTTTATTCTGGGGGGAAGGCATGCATATCCACACTCTGTTTCTTCATCCTCTCTCAAACCACCTGTGCCAAGATTTACCTGTTCCATTCACTCCATGGTTTGTCATCCGTCCACTGCAGGGGTGACATTGTGGGAGATGATGACCTTTGGAAGTGAACCCTATGCAGGCATCCGTCTTTCAGAAGTGCCTGATCTTCTGGAGAAAGGGGAGCGCCTCTCACAGCCCCAAATCTGCACCATTGATGTCTACATGGTAATGGTAAAATGTAAGTGAACTGAGTCACTTTCCCAATCCTGGGCAGAGATTTAACTAGCCTGTCCCTCAAGCGACTCTATTGGCATTGAAGTAATGAATACATGGACCTGCCATATACTGAATCAGACCATTGGTCCATCAGAGTCAGTACTGTATCCTCAGACTTTTCCATGAAGAAAAATTCAGATGGGTAGCCGTGTTGGTCTGAAGTTGTAGAACAAAGTTTGAGTCCAGTGGCACCTTTAAGACCAACAAAGTTTTATTCAAAGTGTAAGCTTTCATGTGCAATAAACACTTCTTCAGACAAGAAGTGTGCTTTGCACACGAAGGCTTATGCTTTGAATAAAACTTTATTCGTCTTAAAGGTGCCACTGGACTCAAACTTTGTATCCTCAAACTGTTAGCAGTTCTCTAGGGTCTTGAGTAGAGGTCTTTCACATCACCTACTACCTTGTCCCTTTAAATGTAGATGCCAGGGATTGAACCTGGGATCTTCTGCATGTCAAGCAGATGCTGTACCACTGAGCAACAACCTCTCCCCATTGCACAATGAGCAAGTGTTTCCAAAGAGCATTAATGGGCAGACCAGTGAAGTCTTTCTGAACTGGACAAAACAGAATCCACAAGCTGATGGTGTTGCCCTGGGCCACAGACGGTGTTCTGGTTGGTGTCTGCCTGCTAAGAGTTTATCCTATTCTCATCCTGCAGGCTGGATGATTGATGAGAACATTCGTCCCACCTTCAAAGAGCTAGCCAATGAGTTCACACGCATGGCCCGCGATCCTCCTCGCTACCTGGTGATTAAGGTGAGTACTGGCTGGACCCAGCTCTTCCGTAGTCTATCGATGAAGTCTGTAGACCCTGCAGATGCTAAGTGATTAGTAGTGCGGCCATTGATGATGCTAATGCCATCAACCATAGCCCGAATGCTATGTGTCATTCCTGTTTGGCCAGTCACTTGTAAATCCTGTTCATAGTTTAAAAAAAAAGAAAAAAGATTAGATTCAATTTCAGTTCTATTTCAGAAAGTTGGACATGTTCTTAAATAGAAGTGTTGTTATTATGGACATTTTCCTCACCCTTTGTGGTGTACATCAGTTTCATTTCCTACATTTTAGCTTCACAACAACCCTGTGAGGTAGGTTGGGCTGAGAGCACAGTTAGCCCAAGGCCACAGCATAGTCTGAGACAGGGTTCAGCCCTAAAACAATTCTTAGATGAGTCCAGCCTGCCTTCTAGTTTTTACTAGTTGCCCTGCTTTCCCTTGTTTTGCTCCCAACTGCCTGAGACTCTTGTCAGATGGGATTATTTTTCTGCGTATGTACAGGCTGGTTGAAAGGGACACCCCTGAGCACAGGGCTTTTCTCTCACCATTGCCAGACTTCAAATATGTAGGATTGCATGGTTAGGCTTCCAGAAAGACCTGAGGCCTGGTATCTCTCTTCTTTGAAAACCAGGTGCAACCCAAAGGACTGACTCGTTTTGAAATTACAGTTTTTACTCTCTTTTTTTTGGGGGGGGGTATTTTTTAAATGTGTGTGTGCATGTAGACACCTGGAAGTCATGGCAACCTCTGGTGAGTGACTCCTACTGGGGGCCTGGAGGATATTCAGAGAGGTGGCTGGATAAAGCCTGCCCCCACCTCCCGACTGCTGGTATTCCAAGGAGGTCTCCCATCCAAGTACTTGCCAGAGTCGACCCTGCTTAGCTTCCGAGATCTGACAAGATTGGGATTGCCCGCTCGCGAGGAGGGCGGGGTATAAATGCAATAAAATAAATAAATAAATAAATCCAGGTCAGGGCAGAGTTTTTGCTCTTGTTAAGACACTCCCACTAGCACTTGATGGTGCTCAGCAATCGCTGCTGCAATAGTAAATATGGTCTTACTATAAGTTAATGCTCTTCCTTTCCCACAGAGAGAGAGTGGGACACTTACCCCTGTGGAGCCACCAACACTCAGTGAAAAGGAGTTGGATGAGATGGAAACGTTGGAAATGGAGACAGAGATGGAGGAGGAGGAACTTAACAACCTCTTCTCCTCCAGGCAGTGGATGGACGCCACACGGGTAAGGGACTCCTCCTCTCCCAACCTAATGGATTTGGGAGTCTTCCTGGTTCTGTTATTCCCTGTTCTTCTCAGTGGTCTTACCCTTTGAAGCTACAGGAGAAAAAGGAAGGGAAGTTTTGTCTGGCCCTGCAGAATGCTGGAGGGTTTAGGAGATGGGCTGTTTGACTGAGTCGGGGAGAGGGTGAAACCGCAGGACAGTGGCTGGCGGTCTGTGGATCCATCAGGATGAAGGAAGCTTCACTGCCGATGGGCATCATAGGCCAGGAGAAGTAGTTAAGGAATGCCAAGATGCTTGGGCAGGTGGGGAGGCGGCACCATTCTGTATTTGCCTACGGTGGGAGTCCCCACCCTTGTTGAACCTGCAGGCAGTTTGCAAAGTTTGAAAACAGGTAGCGGGTGCCGCCACCAAAAGGGGCGGTGGGTGACCAATCATAGCATGTTCGGAGGTTCCAAGCCAAGCATCAGCCTATAATGGAAATTCTGAGTGTTCTGAAGGACCCCATACTCCGATGAGATGGAGGAAAGCTAGGATTGGTTCTTTGCTTTGGGGAAAGAAGGAAGAGGGCACCAGGAAACACGGCACTTGGGCACTGTTTTGTGGGCTCTCTGGCCTAGAGCATCAAAATGGCCCTGCCTCTACTTACTGCTATGGATGTTTTTGTAATTCTTCAGAGCCCGACTCTCCTGAACCCCTCAGCTGGATACATACCCATGAACCAGAGCAGCCTCAGTGGAAGTCATCAGGTATTGAGTTACAGTTCTTATTTTTATGGAGATCGGGGCTAGTATGGAAAAGATGGCATGTGTATCTAGTTAGATCTGGTCCATGGGTTCGCGAAGAGTCGGACTCGACTGTGCGACTGAACAACAACGTGTCTAGTTAGAAGGGACTGAGGAGACCATCTGACCTTGGTTAGTCAAGAGTTTGGCACTGAGGGGAAGTGAAGATGGAGCTTCATCCATCTCTCCATCACATTTTTATCCCACATCTTCCAAGGAGCGCAGGGTGGCTTATTTGGTTTTCACCATCCTCTATTATATACTCATAAGAACATAAGAGAAGCCAATGTTGGATCAGGCCAATAGCCCATCTAGTCCAACACTCCGTCACACAGTGGCCAAAAATACCAGGTGCCATCAGGAGGTCCAGCAGTGGGGCCAGGACACTAGAAGCCCTCCCACTGTTGCCCCCCCCCCCAAGTACCAAGAATACAGAGCATCACTTGCCCCAGACTGAGAGTTCCTATCTATACCTTGTGGCTAATAGCCACTGATGGACCTCTGCTCCATATGTTTATCTAATTCCCTCTTGAAGCTGTCCATGCTTGTAGCTGCCACCACCTCCTGTGGCGTGAATTCCATGCTCTGTGAGGTAGGTTTTGCTCAGAATGTGTGACTCGAACACTGTTACCCAAGTAAGTAAGTTTTATGGCTGAGTGAGGATTTGAACGTGGATCTTTCTAGTCTTAGTCCAACATTCTCACGCATTGCACGTTCAGTCCTTGGAAGACCGTGGGGAGCCAGGGCTGGGGCAGACTTCTGCCCGAGATGCAGATTGAATCCGCAAGTCTTAACTGAACCTTGCCATCCACTAATCTTTGCCTCCTTGTGATCCAGAGTGCTGGACTGGGCTCCCGGCAGACTTTGCGCATAAGGCAGGAGTCCATGGGTCGCACGATTTCAGAGTCGTCAGAGGGACGGGGGACGGCCTCCGATTATGAGCTCACCGAGGATATGTCTTTGTCCGGGAGCCTGTGCCGGAGCCACCGGTCCCGGGGAGATAGTGCCTACCTCTCTCAGCGAGAGAGCCTGATGCTCCCAGTTGGAAGTGCTGACGGGGAAGAAGACGCCAATGGCTACGTCATGCCGGATCGAAACAGCAGAGGTAGGAGTTGTGCCACAGAAGTGTCTGCGGCGGAGTGAGGTGCATCTCACACTCCCTTTACTTGGGTGGGTTGCTCCAGTACCAGGTTGGAAAGAGCTGGGTAGAAAGGGATCTAGTCAGGGAAGCAAGGGTGGCAGCTTGGCTCTGTTTCTGGACCATCGCCTGTCCCGCTTACATGGTTTTTTTGATCTGTAGCTATAAGTGCTTTGAGCTGACAACTGGATCCAATCCCTTCTACAACTGAAAAGGGAATATGGGACCCAGTGGAAACTGTCCTGCATCCTGGCTCGATTATCAGGATGAAGACTAAAGCAGTGCCCGGCAGAGGCTGTTTGTAGAACTAAGAAAAAGAAACACAATGGTGCAGTGGGAATGGAATATTTCATAGTTATGAAGCCTCATTGTTTGTAGAACTTCACTGTTTGTAGGAGTAGCCCGGGGAGAACTCCAGCCAAAAGTTCTGAAGTCTCAGGTGGCTCCGAGGAACCTGGGTGAAACGATTTCAGTGCGGCATCCTGTAGTCAGTGGATGGCAGAGCTGAAATATGAATTTGGGGGAATCATATTTATAGTTCAGTCTCTTGGCCACTGAAGCTACACCAACTGTTTGGCTCTGTCCCTGTCCTAGTGTGCGTGTGGGGCACCTGGTCACCGGGAAGGGAGTGATACTCACCTGAGATCAGCACAATTATCAGAAGACTCTGAGGGCTGAACTAGGCAATATGTTTTTGGAAAAAGTGTTCCCAGGAGTCCCCAACTCACTTTCCTTGCAGCCACAGAACAGCTGTGGGAACACGGTTTTTAAAGCCTTGGGGGGGTGTGTGTGTGTCCATGTCTTCCTCCCTCTGCTGTTTTCCTGAGCCAAAGTGGCCCTGGTGTGAGAATTACATGCCCCATTTTGAAGCGGCACAAGCAGCTTCCCCCTCCGGGGGAACCTGGGCCAGACTCATTAAAAATAATGCATGGCGCGGTTTGGCCCTAAGACCCTCTTGTTCTCCTCTCCTCTCCAGAGCGTGCTGCTGGCGCTTCCGCCTCCCTGCTCCGGGGCTCACATCCTGTGCCGCAAGTGGATGAAGAGTACGAGTACATGAACCGGCGTGCTCCACAAGCCCCACAGCCCCGGCCAGCCTCTCTGGAGGAGCTTGGCTACGAGTACATGGACCTGGGCTCTGAGCTGAGCGCTTCGCTCGGCAGTGTGCCAAGCTCCCAGTTAACCACGCCCTGTCGGGATGAAGAGGACGAGGAAGAAGACTATGAGTACATGAACAAACAGCCCAAGCTCAGCAAGTCCCTGAGCAGTATCCGCAGCTCTCGGGAAGACTATACCGACATGGACTCTGGCATCACGCAGGGCTCCCCGGATGAGCAGGGTTACGAGGAAATGGATGCTGTCTTGCCCCCTGTCCAGTGTCCTGGCTGTCAGAGTCCCCCCTGCCCCAAAAATGGGTTCATGAAGCCCTTGCGCACATTGGAAGCCTCAGACTGTGCTTTTGACAACCCTGATTACTGGCACAGCCGATTGTTCAGCAAGGCTGATATCCAGAGGACTTAGTTGGGGGTGGTGGTTTTGTCTGTCCCTTTGCGGGGTAGAAGAAACAAACTCTTGAACTTTAGCCGCAAACACCCTAACTGTGGTTGTGGACTGAAAAGTGGAACTTCCGTGAAGCTCCGTAAGCCTCTCTGGTGCTGACCAAGATGGGCAGGCACGTCAGGAGCAGCCAACAACGGGCTCCTCCAGGGTTGCGTCTCAGCCCCTCTGCCTCGCACTGCATTTGACCCATCACACATCTGGTCTCTTCCGTTCAAATGCCCTGAACGTAGAGGGCAACACGGAAGCAAGTTGGAAGACGCTGTCTAGACTTCTGGGACATGGGGCCGGAAGTTTGTAGAAGACTTGCTGGCCATTTCCGTGGGCCAGAGGGCCTTACAGTCCGGTGGAGGGCACGGTTTCTCCAGGAAGCAGCTCTGTTTTAGGAAACAAGGTAGAGCCCCCTGTGCCGAGGCTGAACTGATCCTCCCCTGCCCTGCTCAGAAACCACATCAACAACCAGGGGGGATGTCTCTAGCAGCCCTTGTAAAGACAGCCCTCTGCCTTTCGATAGCAGTGGGGTCTTGAGCATGAGCCAAGCACACTGAGCCCTGCAGGTGACCGTGAGATTGAAAAGAAGCCTTCCTCTAGAGAGGCAGCGAGGTCCTTGTCCGCTGATGTCCCATTCTGACAACATCTGTAATGGGGGGAGGAGAGGACTTACAATTATCTGGGTGCATATGAAGGATAACGGTGCTTTCCTCACCACCACCAGGAAGCCTGACCACCTCATTTAGGGAGATATAACGTGTTGCTCTGGGATAAGGCCATGTGGGTTTTGAATCCTACCTCCCAGTATGGCATTTGGTTTAAAAAACAAAACAACAGATACTAGAAACTCCAACTCTTATCGCTGAGTTTTCTTTTGTTTTGGTGTGCCTTTAGCCATCCCCGTGCCTTATAGTTTCCATATCTGGATGGAGACCCTTGAGAAGGAGGACGTGGCCAAGAACAAAAAGCCAGGAGGTGCTGCAGACTTGAACAAGCTAGATTTCTATCCCCCTGCATCTAGTGCTTATTACAACTTGCAGTGCCAGTCTGAGCAGAGTTAACACCTTCTGAAGTTAAGGGGCTTGGAGGGGCCGTGGCTCAGCAGTAGAGCATCTGCTTGGCATGCAGAAGGTCCCGGGTTCAGTCCCCGGCATCTCCAGTTGAAAAGACCAGGCAGTATTATTATGTGAAAGAACTCCTCCTGAGACCCTGGAGAGCTGCTGCCAGTCTGAGTAGAAAATACCCTGATGGATGAGGTGGTCTGATTCACTACAGGGCAGTTTCATGCGATTGCACTGCTAAAGGTTAAGATCCAGCAGTAATCTCAAGCATCCCAAAGAAAAGGATGGTGGAGAGACAGTGCAGAGTCCCTGATGGAGAGAGTGACAACTTCAGTCCTCCGGCACACGAAGAGTTGGGGCAGAGGGGCCAGTTTAAAAGGCAGCATGCCCCATATTCCCCCTGTCAGTGAATGGGAATATGGGATTCTTTTTCAGCACAGGAGCCAACTGGGGAGGATCCCAGTCACTGAGTCCCCTCTGTGATGTGTGAACGATCCAGGAGTAATATGCTTCACTGCGGAAATTAAATTGGGAGTAAACTGCTGTTTTGAAACGGGTGCAGAGTTGCATTATGGGCTTTTTAGTTTTTATCTGTGATTCTCTTGAGTCAGACCCATTTGTACGAGAATATGATTTGGGAACAAAATTCTCCCTTTCGCCACCCCACCCTGAAGGCCAGTAGTATTGAATATTATTTTATTTTTGTTCCCACATGTTTTGGATGGCATCATATACAGAGAGGGGAAAGAAAATAAAATCTGATCAGAAGGAGATGGATTTGTTATCTCGCTGTATGCGGAGAGATATCCGCATTTGACCTCGTCTTGTTTTGAGTCCTGTAAAAACATTCCTGTGTTATGGGATCTGAATCTTGAACTGGATCATAACGTGAGGTGCCAAGCGCTGTTTTAGTGGCAACATAATCCACATTGTCCTGAGGTCTCTCTAATATTGTTCTCCAGCCTTACCTTTAGGCTCCAAATACGCAGCTGAATTTTAAATGGAGGTTGGTTGGTTGATTTTAATTGATGCATCTTTTGTTTTGGCTGTCCATGTACTCAACAGGCGAAGGGAGTGTTCTGCAAAAAGCAAGATTTGTATGAAATATAATTGTAGTTCCCTCCCTGCTTTCTTGAGTAGGAATCCCGTGGCACTTTAAAGACTCCCAAGTATAAGCTTTTGGGGGTCAGAGCTCACTTTATGAGACGCATCAAGTGTACGTCCATTAGGCAGATGCATCTGTACCCTTCTTAAAGCTTCGAATAGCAGAAAGAGGGAAGAGGGAACATATTATAAGGAGACAGACAAGTTTCCAGTCAAAAGGGTTATCAGTCCACTCTGGGGAAAGATTGCTCCCAGTTGTTGACAGACAGGCCAAGTAGTGAGCTCTAACTCACAAAACCTTACAGTGGAATAAATGCTGTTAGTTTTCACAGTCTATTTAGATATATATATCCCACTGATATCCCTACTGGGGACCAGTATTCCCTCTAAGCTGAGTTAGTGTGAGCTAGCTCACAGTTTTTCAGCTTCCAGCTCACAGATTTTTGTCTTCGCTCAGGAAGGATGACTCTAAAGCCAACTAATTTATGCAGTAGCCAAATCGCTCGCTCACAAATTTCATGCCAGTAGCTCACAGAGTAGAATTTTTGCTCATAAGATCCCACAGCTTAGAGGGAACATTGCTGGGGACCCACAGTGGCTTACAACATTGGTCTCCCCTCCTCAGTCTTATCATTACAACAACAACCCTGCTAGGCGGCGAGGGAGTGACTGGCCTAAGGAGCTTTCATGCCAGAGGGGGGATTTGAATCAGGATCTCCCAGATCCTAGTCCAACAGTACGCCACACTGGCTTGCCTTTAGACTTCTGCTTAATTTTGGTGCAACAGACTAACATGGATAACTCTCTAGAACTACCGTCATACCATTCAATAACATTTTTTGTCATTTCCTCCCCAAACAGAAAGGACTAGAAACAGGCATACAAGCCAACATAGGGTTCTCAAGGAACTACCAGATTTAGCCTTATAAATTATTCGGTTCTGTGTTTAAAATGTATTCTAGCCACGGACTATCACCTCTCTGCTTTCATACTGTGGGAAATTAGCACCCTTCCTGGATCAGAATTCCACAGGGTACGATGAAATCTCAAGTGCTGAAAAGCAGTCAGATTTACCTAGATCCTTTCAACAGCACCGGACACCTGGATTGAGCAGGATTTCAACTAGGGAGGTGCTGGCTAATACATAAGGATATTACAGATGCTATTCAATCCCCACCCCCCAGAAGAAAAAAGCTTCAAGGCAACAGCCAAAGTTAAATTTACTGAAATGAGCTCCTTCAGGAGGAGGAGGAGGAGATAAGATTTAGTTATCTTTTGGCACAAAGAAAGCCAACCATAGTTAAATTGCTGCGGCATTTTAATACAGTACTAAGTAAACTTGTGTAAGGAGAGGCGGCATGGTATAGTCCAGTCTCATCAGATCTTGGAAACTAATCAGTATCGGTACTTGGAAGGGTGACCTCCAAGGAAGACTCTGCAGAGGAAGGCAAAGGCAAACCACCTCTGCTTCTCACTTGCCTTGAAAACCCCTTGCTGAAGTTCCGGTAAGTTGGCTGCCACTGGATGGCACTTCACGCACACAGAACCTTGTGTAGGTGGAAGACTCTCAAGTTCTGAAACCAAAGTCATGATAACATTAGGGTATAGTCCGATGGTTCTTAGTTTAATTCTAGAACCAGAAAATTTCATCCAATCCTCTGATACCTTGAGGACATCACAGTTCTATACAACGGAACCCAAATATGTCCCAAAGCAAAGTTTAATGCAATTGCAAGACTTTCTCCATCACGGCCCTTGTGCAAGATGTCTATAAAATGCTTTGCAATACCACGGGCACATTCTAGAGAATGGTAGGTTGCAACAAAACTCTGCAGATTTTGGTGGGGTTTAGGCAGGCCTGACGTTCTCGCCTGAGTCTCAAAACAGTGCCATCCATACTTTTTTGCATTAAAATAATCCAGTTTAGGGTTGCTGGTGGTCCAGAAAAACAACAAAAAACTGGCTCAGTTCTCGGAAAGAGGTCTGAGCCAGAGTCTGAGGAGGTGGCTCAGGTGGAAATCAGAATGAAAACAAATGAAATGGGATTCTGTTGATAAGATTATGGAAAGGTGCTGTTCTAAGCCTCCTTTTGCCCATTTTTTACCCTAATTACTGTTGCTGCTGTCAACTGTTTAGACTCGCTTTGGTGTAATTGATTTGAGGACGTTAATGAAGCAATATCTGGACGGAGTTAATTAAATTTGCATACGACTAATAATGTCAAGTATTACAAACGGTAATGAACAAAAATATGGAAACAACCTCATTTGGTCAGCATAGCTCTGGAATTCTTTTTGTATTTGTACGACAAAGGTGTCACGTTGAATCTGTTCTTCCCATATTGGATGTATATATTTTTCTTAAATGTCAAGTTGATTTTTTTTTTCTTGTCATGGTTTGAAACTGGTGAAATGAAGGCTTTTTATCTTTTACAAAAATCTGGACTGGAAGGAATCCAAATGTTTACACATTTTTAAATTGCCTTGTATGATACCTTAGCTATAGTGTAACATAGAAAAATAGTTGTGTCTAAAAAACAAAAATAAGACGCCTCTCCTGTTATTGGCTAAGACAACGGCGTACTCCTATTCCAGGAAGTAAGGATGTTGATGGAGCTTGATCTTGTGAGGAGGTGTATTTGGGCAGATTCATTCAATCCTGCCTTTTGGCATTCAAATCAAATAGATCCTCTTGCTAAGAAACTGGATCCTAGCAGTCATTATATTCCTATGGAGAGGGCATAAGATCCCTACCTTTTCCTGATCCAAACTTAGTGGGCCAGTATGGCGATTAGGTGTTGTGCCAATACATGATGTCACTTCTGGCATGTAACTGAAAGGGACATCATCACGTTGGGGCGATGCTCTAATATTTACCCTAGAGCATTGCTGGGATGCAGTGGCATCTCAGAAGTGATGTTGCATCTTGTTGTGACACACACACACCCAAGTTCCCCGTTGAGTGGTGGTAAGGACTGGGAGTCCAGGCCAGGACGTCTCCTACTACAGCAGGAGACCTGGCTTCCCTAGGCCTAGTTCCGGTACCTTTAGCCGCATTTTAAGGCACATGGTGAGTACGTGGAGAAAAAACGATGGGAAACTGATATCTGTTTAATTTGTGCACGTTGTTAAAGGCACAGAAACATTAAGGGTTTGTGTTTGTTTGTTTGTTTTAAAAAAAACCCACATGGACAACCGTAATTCTGTGCTGAAATATCATTAGAAAAGTCCTTTGATAAAACAAACTGAAACAAGGTCAATTTATGCCTTATGGACACACCTCTGCTGCTAAAGCAATAGTGAAGCTTTCAAGCAGCACAAAACCTTTTCTTAGAACAAATAAAAAATAGCCACTGGTCAGTTAACACACAAGCTCCATGGCAGATCTTTTATTTCAAATGTAGTTGTATTTGGTTGCATTGCTTTTGGAAGCCTCCGTGTGATTTCCTGACATGGAACTCTGATGGCAGTTGGCAAATTGTTACTCTAATGCACGTTATTTCCTGCATATTTGGAAAAGAAGGCCATCTCAACCCAAACTGAAGGTTTTGTCAAAGGCCCTAGCTACAGGGGTTGCCAACTCTGGGTTGGGAAATTATAGGAGATTTGGAGTGGAGACTGGGGAAGGTAGGGGTTGAGGAGGGGAAGGACCTCAGTGGTGTACAGTGGCATAGAGTCCACCCTCCAAAGCAGCCATTTTCTCCAGGGGAACTGATCTCTGTCATCTGAAGATGATTTTTAATTCTGGGAGATCTGAAGGCCCCATCTGGAAGTTGGTAACCCTACTAGCTACGCTACAGAATCCTGTGGATTTTATTTGCCCCAAAGAATCCTGGGTATAGTTGTTTGGAGGGGCACGAACACCAATTTTCTGATAGAAATTCCTAGTTTCTTTTGCACAGAACTCCACCTTCCTTGGGAAATGAGAATGA